GTGTTACCCTCGTGGGGGACACTAGGTCTAGGGCTTCTTGCCTGCGAGGTTCCAAGTTGCGCGACTCTTGGCTTCACTGGTTTCACCTTCTCATGTTTTCTAGCGACTAGTGGACTCGAAGGGATCATCAGCGTCCACTGAGCGTTCCCACCGCAAGATATGTGGGAGGCAGCGCCTTTGCGGCTTGTTTCTTCCGCTGTGTTGGGCTTCTTAAGTCCATTGAGCAGCCATTCACCCGGGCTCAGCACTTTGAAGGGGGCTGGCGTGTAAAGTCTCTTGCTGCTCGCAGATATCCACCTGCCAAACATTCCGGACACACCGCCCTTGCTGATTGCCACACGCATTGAGGAGGGAGCTGTTTGAGGCACCTTGCTTTTCTGCTCGGGCTTCACTTCAAATCAGTTGCCACGATCAAAGGGCCACCTCCAACAGCGTAGCCGTAGCCTTTTCCCAGCTGATGGACGAATCCCTGCATCCATGTGCAATTTGTTGGCATTTTACGGCGGAATCATCATTCCAGGGGTTCTTAGGTGGTGCGCAAAATGGATTTCGCAACCATCCGGAGGAACAGAGACCAGCACAGACCAACCAAAGCAGCATTTCAGCTCCAGCCCCAAATGGCTGGACCCATGGCCAGCCACGGCCGGACGAGAGAGGTACGGCTAGAGCAAAGGCGGACGCAACGGCAGGTGCAATCGACTTTGGCCTAACGGATTACTACTACTTCGGAGGGGGGCCGAAATTCAGCGGATTTCTCTATGGGTGAGGGCGCACGTCTAGAATTCAAGCCACGGTCCAATTTACTAAGGTATGTTTAGTGTGTTTGTAGTTTGCTGCTCTGGTTGGAGCCACACATATTTAAAATCAGTATCCAGACAAGGTCTAGAATTGGTGATCTTATCAATGTGCTTGGTAGCATCGACACGAAGTTGGAGCTTTAGAACTCGCATGTAATCGTGCATCATTTGTTCGCAATGACCCTTCCTCAAGCGAGTGGGGCTTAACCGTTGCTGGGTAACTTTGTCAGGAGTCAGGAGTTCTTAATCCAGAAGCCGTATGATTGTGAATTTGTAGCCTTGCAGCTTGATTTCGGGGCGAAGCCCTTTCACATGGCAAATGTTGCTGGAAAGACCCCATCGGAACGTTGCTTTTGAGCAGTGGGCTTTGCAGCTTGTCGAAACAGCGGCAATATAGGTGGGCTTTAAGTCTTTAAGCTTCCATTTCCTTTGTAACAGCATTTCACTCGCAATCTTTTGACCTTGACCTTACATATCACCTGCACTTAAAGTATGGAACGGGTACTGCATTTTGACTGGATCCACTCGCCCTCAACTTCACACAGATTCAAAAGTGGTGCCTGTTCCGCATTAAGCTCCTGCCTGGCCAGACGGTGGGAGAAAGCATATGGATGCATTCGGACAGGAGCTCCGCATTCTCCAAAAGGATTGCACCGAGTGCGTGGCATCATTTTGCCAATGTTCTCGCTCCCATCGCTACCCGGCTTGTCAGCCGCGGTCTAATAAGGGAGCTTGACCGGAGCACTTGGCGGGGTGCGCGTTAGATATATATCTATATATATACTCAGTGTGGCCTTCCAGAATTGACCCCTTCATGGCCTCAGCTTTGCAGCTCACGGTGAAATCAACTGGCTACGTATTAGCGTGATGTTTTTGTTCATATCCTGATCATATGATTCTGGTGTGCGGACCGTTTTCAAAATACGCAGAGAGAAGTTTCGGGGATTCCGGGGAAAGCCACACTTGGAGACTCTTGATACAGATGATACCATGGGCTTGGTGAGCTTAGCCCTGAGTCTCTCGAGCGCCCCCAAGGGCGTTCGCCGTGCTGGCTCCGGCTGCATTTGGGTCGAACTGCCCCATGGAGAGCCCGCACAGGATGAAGCAGCCATTCAGAATTCCCACTTTGGAACGTGCGAACTGCTTAATTTTTGGGGCAAAACGCAATGCCATCAGTAGTACTCTATCAATCAGCATGCAGTTCGTGGGTTGTCCATGGTTGAGCCCTTGCCCACAACTTGCTATATATGATCATATTCATTGTGTAACTTGGCTTCAAACTTTATGGAACGGAGCCTCCAGCACTGCAAAGGACAAACCAGTTATTTGAGAAACATTGTTTATCGCGACGTGCGGGTTCCCAACCAAGGCGGAGTTGAGGGCCCTGCTACAGCACAGTAGTGAAGAATCCTGTGACAAGTCAGCCAGCGATCTTGAAACAAGATGGCAGGGCCAGTGCTTGTCCACTCGCCCGAGCACGTCTTAGGGGCGCATTCGCCGGGGCACCCCTCATGCAACGCTTCATGTGGAGGCTTGGCCATGATTCATCGTAGTTGCTTCATGTGTTCTTTGCTTCGACCTGTCCACGCAGAATCGTAAGGGAGAATGTTTGTTTTTTGTTACATTTGGAGTCAGTTTGGCTGGCCGCCACCCTACTCATTGAAGCAGAATGACCTCATGGCAGTTGGAGAGTGTAAGGAGAGGAGCGCAGGGCAGACCATGGTGGGCGGGGGAAGAAGCCTACAAGTGTTCTGACCCGGAAATGTTTGGTGGTAGAGCTGAGTAAATGTTTGCTGCAAGTCAACCTACCAACTTACTAGAGTATTTGCAAAGAGGCATTTGCTTTGTTGAGTGAGACACGTTTGTAGAATCAGTCACGGCTTCCTTACCATTTCCAAATCTCGAAATGCTCGGACGAGTGATTTGTTCCTGCCGGCAATCTGTGACTCTCCACGCCTGTCCTGGGCCTTTGCGTGATCAAAATAGACGCGTGATTGCAGCGCCACTTGGCTTTCTGTTTGCACTTTGGTTCTACTCCAAAAGGGTACCATCCATCTACTTCATGGACAGCTGGGGGGTGAGTTAAGAACCCCAAAGGCACATGTTGGTTGAATGGCAGGGCGGCTGCCAACTTTGGAGAGTGTCAAAGGACTGTGTTATTTTTGCTTGTAGATTTGTAGGTCTGCCAGCACGGAGCAGCGCATAACAAAGGCCATGTGCCCAAGTTAGCCAGAAGGAGTTGCACTTTGTGTATGGCACCTGTGCTGATCTGGGGCTGGCAAGCACTGGCACTGATTTATTGCAATGTCCGAGCTGGAGCTGCTAAAGAGTACTTCCTGTACTGCACTTGTGCTGAACAGTTGCGATCTTGTCAGCCAGGGCTGTCAATGTGAAAGTTGTGTAGTGCACCTGTAATGTGATTTCGAACAGGGGCTGCCAAAGTGCGAAAACACAAGTAAAACGATACGGCCTCCTGCAAAAACAATGGCGGTTCAACCAGGTACTAAGGCGTCCTCATATTTTGCGGCTCGACGTTCTAGCGCAGTCCAGTACTGCAAAAACAGATCGTAACAAGACTTGAGAGGCTTTGAGAATTTGCCACGTCGTGAATCCCTTTCACATGGTTTATGGCACATGAGCCCTTGCCCACAGAGGACGCTAATTAGGGTGCAATGCTCAACATAAAGAGAAACGTGCGGTCGGCTAAGCCTTTTAGAATGCAGGTGCTGGATTGAATCATCTTGGCAACCCTCAGCGTTCACACCTGAAATGCTTGATCCCAAGATACCAAGATATCCCAAGCACAATTGCCTCCAGCAACAATGTAACAAAGAGCTAGTGACATGCAATTAATGACTATTCTGTGTTTTCGCGCTAACAAGGAATACATTACCTGTGCAACGCCTCGTCAACTTTGTTCTTGGACCACGGTGTTTTAGCTTGAGGCTTTTACTCAGCTGACGGAATCGAGGAGTTTATCGCAAAGCCATCCATCCATGGCACGGAACTTTGACCCTGTATTTGTGTCCTGGTTGAGTGACTTTGAGCAGCCCCGCTTTCAACCCACAGAGCTCTTGCGAGGCTTGTATGGACAAAAACAAACATGGAGTGAGCCCCAAACTAATCCGCCCCCATCCCTCGATTTTGCTGGCAGCGCGCCCAAGCCCCGCCCGAGGCTGGGAGGTGCCAAGCTTGGAGAAACAGCGTGCAGCAGTGCAGCTTCTCCGCATGCCATTCCCTGGGTCGCTTGGGTTGGCAACCAGCGTCCAACAAACAGGTCTTGCCTGGCATTGGTCAGAGCCGGTTTAGGGACACCCGCACGCAAGCACGACTGAAGAGTGCAAGCCAGAACTCCCTTTTGAGCAGGTTGGATCGATGGCAGAGGTTTGTCACTTGCGGGGTCTTTTTTCTGCCAGCCCCGCAGCGATAGGAGAGACGTGGAAAGAAGCCTTGCCTCCGGCACACGCGATGCAAGCAGCATGGTGTCCAACTATGGGAAAATGTTCTATCACATTGATGAGACTCATACAAATAAGCATACGACATGAGACAACACATCGACAATGTTGGGCATACTGGTTTAGTCGATCAGTCGCTCACTCACTCACTCTCCTAGCCACTCGCCCATGCACCCAAGCATGCACGCAGACTTTCTGACATGCACGGACTCACCCAGCCACCCACTCACTCACTTGCTCGCTCACTCATTCACTGGCGCACTGACGCACTAACGCACTCACCCACTCACTCGCCCAACCCACGCACTCACTCCTTTCCCCTCCCTCCCTCCCTCCCTCCCTCCCTCCCTCCCTCCCTCCCTCCCTCCCTCCCTGAGGACAACACAAAAGTCTGCAAGACCCACTGGGTGTGTGCCCCTGCTCCCTCATTTAGCTTGAACTCCTGTTTGAGTCGCCGCATGGGTGTTGACTCGCTCGAAGTGCAATTGGATACCCACCCGCTGTACTATTTGCTCCAGTTAAGCACTCAGCGCCAGCACTTCACAAGCAGGTCGCAGTAAGGGCAAAGACTGCCTTTAACATCTTTTTGAGAAAGAGGCAGCTCATAGCAGCCCCACACCATAGCAGTGTTGGGGCCAAGTTCTGGCATGGCTCATGCATGGCTCATAAGTCTCATAAGTACGCAAAAAAAAGGCCGTCAGCCAGAGCACGAATCATGCCTTTGGCCGCAAGGGCCCGCAAGCATCCGGAAAACTGAGAGCTGTTCGCGGTCGCTTCCATAGCCCCCATGGCGCCGGATGCGAATGCAGGCTGGCATTCCGTGGCTTTCAGGCCTTCGGCCCTTTTTGGCCCCAGGAAAACCCCGGCTCGTGTCAGACTGACATGCCCGGTGAACCAGCTCTCGCGACAAGACCTGATGCAATTTTTTGAATCCTTGCAGCCTAGAGGCTCCAGGTCAGTGTTCAGTGTGTTAACCAGCTGTTGGCCTGCGCAGGCGAGCAGCTCAGCTTCAAGCAAAAGCTTTCAGAGGCGCAAGTTGCGGCACGGGTCCAACCAGGGGCGATGGTTGGCTCTTGCGGTTGGAGACCGAGATGCATGGGGAGAATGCTGGCTGTGGCTTAAGAAAGGTGTCAGGGTGGCCACAGGGAATTGCCCAGCATGCTTCTCTGCAGAATGTCAGAGTCTTTTTGGTATCCTTCAGGGCAGGCATCCTATTACAAGCTTAGACTTAGATGATTCTTCCAGAGGCTCGCGAGTGCTTTGGTTGCTAAGTGTTCTTTACGCGGCTTACAGAGACGATGCCTACCTCAGGGGGGAGGGGGGGGCAGTGAAGAATCCCCCGCTATTAGGTTGCGACCATTGCGAACATGTGCTTTCGCTTCGTGTGTTGCGTTTTATCATGATCAAATGCAGATCCGCCAGGTTCAGACGAGTTTTGCGGCACTTCATGAACGCATTGCAAGTTTGGAAGATGGCTACATGCAGGACACCGCAGACTTGGAGGTCATTCTGGCAAGGGATGTGCGATGATGTGCGAGTGGCAGAGCTAGGAAAAGGAAGCTTTCCTGAAGTCCTGCTTCAATCAGCAATTCCAGGCTTGCCAAGGAAGAACTTGCATCACTTGTTGTGCTCTTTTGCAGCTTGTTGGAGCATGCAGCAGCAACCTGTTTGTGCCTCCGACTGCGCAAGGACCTAGAGACTGCGATTTCGCAGCGCATACGCGAAAACGTGCCTCGGCAAAGCATCGACGCTGATGTATTTGCAGCAGGCACAGTTGTCAGCATGCGGAGCCTAACTTGGGCCTATAGATGCAGCTGTGCCCCACCAAGACCGTGCCAGGGCAAAGTGAAGAAGCTTAGAAAGAAGAAGAGAAAGGAGAGTTCAGTGGCGCAGGTCGGGGGCAAGGGGCATGGGGCGAAGCTGTCGCTGTGGCAAGTCAGACTGGCATCAAGTGATTAAATCTGAATTGATGAACTAGCATCATGTCGCAATCCATTTTGTGTTTGGGTTCGTTCTTGTTTCAGTCCGTTGTTTGAGCGCAACACAGCGGAACTGAAAGCTTGTACCTCTACCATATTGTTATCAGCTGCTACTTTGACCAACGAACAGGGAGGTCAATCAAGCACCCAAGCGCCTTCAACGTTGCCTTGTGCCATGCAGGTAGGTGTTTTCTGCAGGTATGCCCAACGCTGCCGGAGCCGGAAGAAGACATTGAGGCAGAAGCCACGGACACGGCCTCGTACATCGGTGAGGAGGCGGGCAACCTTACTGGAGCATGCAGAGTGCACATAGATGGGCCCGTCCAGTTTCAGCTTGCCGGAATGAAGGAGGTCCGGGGTTTTCATGTATTGTGCTACTAGATGTATGTAATGTTTGGCAGTTGCATGGGACTCGCTCTTTGATATACGGGATGTGCCTTGTGTGTTGTGTTCTTGCAGCTTGTTGGAGACATCCAGTGTACAGCGTCGGAGAGAGAAGCCGCGAAAGCCAGCTGCCATTGCATGTCGTCGAACAACTTGCTGTTTCACTGGCGGATTGCTGGTTTGTTGGCCCGGGATGCCTTAGTATTGTTTGTCTTGCACGGTGCGAGTCGCATTCCTTTGCCTTGCCAGGACAGCGTCGGATACAGTAGGATACAGTTCTGGCCACTTGATCCCTGTCGGTCATGGTTTGGTAGCTTCCGGGGTAGCGTGGCAGATCCAAGGAGACAGATTGCCCGTAGAGTCCCGACAAGTATTGACGAGGATTTGTTCAAGATGACTTCCAATCCACAGACCTCTGTTTCAGCAGCCCTGGGTGCGCAGCATTTAGCATCTTTCAATCTTGTGATGTGTTGCTGGCCCTTTGGCTACCCCACATTGAGCTTTAGCTTTGCGATGCAGAAGGGCACATCCCGCAAGCACTTCGGGTGCGGAGTTGCCTCAGGGTATGGCTCTCGGAGACGAGAAGCGGGAGGCCTCACACTTAGCCTCGCGCTTTCAGGAGTTGAGGCACGTCTTTGCAACAAAGCAAGAGCCATGTAGCCCAATGCTCGTCTTTCGAATCGCGGGGTTTGATGGGGCTTTCCTGAGCTCGATGTCAATTGATCCGAGGAGCGTGTCTACCAAGTGTGCATGTTTTTTGGAGGCCTTATGTTATTCATAGGGTGACATGCGTAAGCCCCAAAGGCCAGAAGCCTGAGGCTCTAGTTTCATCGACCAGACCCCCACCTTTTTCATTTCAATGCACTGAAGGCATGAAGCTGACCGGGAGCCTCCCAGAAGGAAAACGGTGTCATGGTTTCTCACAGTTGGCATGCCTTTGGGAAAAAATGCGTGCCTTGGCTCATGGCACTTCTAATTTCTGTTCCAGATGGTCATAAAACGGCCTGAATGTCACTGGACGCGTGCCGCTTGTTAGGGATCACTTCTCCTCGTTTGTTGTGCTAGCAGTTTGGGGCTAGTTTGTATCCTGCGGTTCGCGTTGTTTTTCGCGGCCTGGTTTTCTTCTGAGACTGCTACAGGCTAGGCCATCTCAAAACAAAAGCAGGTTTGTCCGTTTGGTCTGGCCAATGTTTGCATCATCCCCCCCCCCAGCGCAAGGCACGTTGCACCTTCAAATTGGATGAGGCTCGGGATATCTCGGGATGGGGGGGGGGAGATTTGGCTTGCCATGGCTTACCAAGCCATCATTGTCAAATATTGTCAATCAATCCTGAGCCGAGCAGTGGCTGAGAAACTTGGGCCGGCTGGTAGGTTACGTATCATGGGAGGTGCAAGACGGTTTGCGACAGTGTGAGGCAAAGCATCGACAGTAGACCCCCCAGCATGAGGCAAAGCGTCGGCTAAAGCCAGTGCCGCGTGCATAGTTTGCCAAGGCTTGAACTTCATATTTGTGAACGAGAAAGCCCCCGCAACGAAATGCAACTATTTTGGCCAGCGAGTCAGATCTGATTGGGTATGTACAGATTTGCTGTTAACTAAGTATTGATTTGTTTTTGCGCTTAGTTTCTATTCGTTTAGTGTTTGGGTAGTGTCAGTGTTGTGCCGAGATGAATTGGCATAGGGGTGTTGCAGATGTTGCAATTGTGTCGTGTTGTTGAGTCTTACCACACTCGATCAAGCCTTGCAATCGAGCACCCACCAAGAGAAGAAACATGCTGGATTGAAACACAGAAACATGTCATGTTGAAGCAATTGCTTTCTGTCCCGACAGTTGTATAAGCAACCTTTTACAACAAAAATAGTTTTCGGTTTGGCGATTTGCTGATGATGTCCATCAAGTCTGATTGCAGTTGGACAGCTTAAATTGGTTCGCACTCATCCAAACATTATATGCGGCAACTACGAAACTTGAGTTTGCAAACAGCAAACCAACACATGTTCAGGTCGACGTTGTGCAGGTGTGCAAAAGGTAACTTGGCGCATGATCACATTGTAGTGGAGCATGCAATGTGTATCGTTCGTGCAATCTCAGCGTTCCTTACCCCACACAATGGCGCAGCTTCATTCAAATTGTTTCCGCACATACTTTTCTTCCTAGATGTGATTCGTTCCACGGTTGCCTGAAAGACACTTGCGTCAAGCGTTCTGAACAGCATGGATATATTACCCAGGCAGCATGTCTGTGGCCAGGCGTTGGAAGTGCCTCGTTCCAAATCTACTAGGAGCCGGCAGCGCCTTGACTATACATGCTTGAGTGACAGATGGTCAAGATGTCCTCACTCTCTGAGACGTGGCAAGGCTTCCCGATCCCCCACACGCCCTAAAGACCACCAGCGCCAAGACAAACAAAGACCTGTGGACAAGCTGTCCTGCTGGCTACACCAGCGAGAAAGACGTCATTTGATTAGTCTGGTGACCCTGTTGGCGGCGACCTGAATCGGCTGGATCGGGGCCCCTCCCAGATTCATGTCGCTTGAGAAGTCCTGGTCTTTCTTCTTGAGCTGTGCTGAACTTGGGTTTAACCTATTGTTCGCACGTTGCTCTAGACGTTGCAAGGAACCAGAGATCTGTCCCAGCCACTCCCTGAGTTTCAGGAACACCCTCGGCCCGGTGGCGAGCTTCAGGATGAGGACAATCAGCGCCTGGATGAGCACTGGTGGCCATTTTGATGGTAGCAGCGGTACAAATTTGCGTTTAGTTCCGTGCACAACTACCGCCGATTGCGTGTATTTGCCTGCAAGAAGCGTGTTTGTTCAAGTCCAGGAAGTCTGTTGTGATGCGCTTTTTCAATCAGCCACTGAGTCACGGAAATGGAAGAATGGACCACAGTTGGGACACGGGACACGAGTTTTGATCACTAATTCCTGTTGCCTTGAGCAATGTTTTTCTATGCTGTTTGCCTTGCCTGTACTCAGTTTGAGGTTCTGATCCAGATTTGTCAGAGTCCACCTTCACGTGGGCCCACAGACATGTGGCAATGATGCACCCGTTCTCATAGCAATGGGACGGAGAAAGACTCTTGCGTGCTCATGCAAAGAGGCTGCGAAGTAGCAGCAATGATCATTGGTATTGCGCTCTGCCAAGAACTGAGGAGCAACCGGCATGAGTGGGCCATTGGACCCAGTCATGGCTGCTGCTACAAACAACGAAGAGGTGGGCTGCGGGCGTTGGATGTCCTAGGCCCAATTGGCACAGCGATGGGTTTGACTAGAATGTTTTCAGATATTTTTGTGGCCATATACCAAACAATGTTTACCCAGCCTTGTGTTGGCCAAAACTTGCCTTGCAGTGTCAACTTTCTTCCACGTTACTTTTGCTGCTGGGCTTATGATGACTCATCCGAACTTTTGGAGCTAGCATGTGGCCAGAGCAAGGCCCTGCATTCCTCGGAGCTTCGCCGGCAAGTCACTCAATGAATTTCAATCTTTGTCGGATGCCTTGCTCTTTGTTTGCGAATGCTTCAGCTAATGCTGTATGACTGCAGGTGTGCTCCTTTTGTTTTCGGCACGCATTGTCAATCAACTTTCAGTTTGGTACCCTTAGCAAACGAGACAGGATGAGACGGCTTTGCATATAAGAATTTGTTTAAACTGGGGGCATGTACCTGTTTGTTGTGCCCATTTCCCACTTGCCCTTGGATCACACAGGCTGTGAGACCGCCCCTTCAACCAATGGTGGCACCGACATGGGAGGTATGCTGAGTTGGGCTTCGATCCCAGTGATGGCATGTCGAACCTAGGGCCACCAACCAGAACATCATGACGTTCCAGGCAATGTGTCTGCACCCATACTGGCGGCAAGTTGGCCCGGATATGGCCCGGATGAACCTAGCTGACAAACAAGGATGCATATTTCGGTGGCTCTTTCTTTACTTTCATTTCTTCACGCTCGTCTGCCGCCTGTCTCATCGTATGCCAACAGCCCCGCAGCTTACCATCCCAGGTTTGCTGGTACTTGGCGCTCTAGAGAGCTCCTGCCAGCTAGACGTCGGTTTAGGGCCCTTTCAGGTGCCACAAGTAGTTGCCCCCAGGTGCTTTGATAGGTCATTTGAATGAAGCGCAACTTGTAGTCGCTTTATCACCATTTCTACTTGGCAAGTGGATGTGTCCAACAAAATACTGTGAATTCAACAAGTTGAGATTCGCAACCCGGGACCTCTAACTGCCGCACACCGCAGGAGCTGGGCAAACGCCTGCTGGTGGCAAAGAATAAGCTGAACAGCTGCAGAGACCACTCCATCCTGCAGCGTCTTGTCCTTCGGGCGGTTTATCAAGGGGTGCTTTGTCATAGCCTTTCCTGAGGTTGTTTTACACAGAGACAGTCCATCGAAAGCACCCATGCCCTTCTTGAGGATGTTTTTTTTGGAAGGGCAGCCAACAGAAATAGAAAAGAAAGGCCACGCATCTTTTGAGTAGCCTTTGGGGATTCCCCTATTTTGAGACAAGCACATGGCTTGCTTTGGCTTTGCGAACTCTTGGGAAGGAAAGGCTGAAACATACACAAGCCATTGACAATGCCAGGGCGTGGGGTCAACTCTCATGCGATTGAACCAACCGGCCAAGACCCCTTCGCATGTTGCCCAAGCGATAGACTGAGACATGCCAGGCAAAGGAAATTAACCGGGAGGCAAGCAATCCAGTGTATTCTCTTGCTGGTGCCCAGCAGGGAATGAAGGAATGACATTTTAAACCATCCCTTGCGGTTTTTTTAAGGGGATCCCTAGGTTCATGCCCTCATTCCCTGCTGAGCACCAGCAAGTTATAGGCCTTGACAAGAAAATGCCCCAGATGTTGGTTTGAGAGGCTGAAAGGTTTAAAGCCCCTGGAGTCACTCGGAGGGCAACAAGCTCTTAGTCGGCCTTCGGATGCGGATGCTGCGGATCGCTTTTTTCAAGTTGCTCAGTTCCTCATTGACGAAACACGGATTCTGATATTTGTCCTTTTTGGGTGATGTAAACATCACTTTTGGGCTTTGGTGCACAGGGGCGTTCTCTTCGGGGCAACTTGAGTGACATAAACCCTGACTGTTGACTAAGCCCTGAGGCATCCTCCACTGATCCATTTCTACAGACAGAAGTTTGTAACGGGCAAATGGCTGGCCCCTTGACATTCGCTTACGTTCACGATGACGCGCGGTATTCAACCGCTTCTGCATTGCTTACAAATGGTGAACTGAGTTGAATGAGCCACCGCAAAACGTTTCAGCAATGTTGGTTTGCGCTTTGAAGGTGTGTATGCATGCTTCGGAAGGCCAACCCATGCCAGCCCCAAACCATGAATGCAAGCAATTCAAGTGCAGGGAGCTTTGCCGTGCCAGGAAAGTGGCGAACTTTCTTAGAACCGCCATGGGCAAGCATCAAGATGCTGGCCAACCTTCCGAGATCCGATGGCTGATTTTCGAGTTCTTTGCTGCCTGTATGATAGCAGCACCTGGGCAAGATCAGAAGTTGGCCCAGCCTGGCTTTGCGAGATTGTCAAGGTGAAGGATTCATTGGCCACTCCAAAGAGTTTACAAGAGTTCCCTCCGAGCTGGGCAAATCCACCAACGAGTGTTTCAATGACAACCGCAAGCCGACTGGCACTGAACTGCCAAATGCTCCTGGTACCCTTCCGGCATCTCCTAAGTGTGGACGGAGTAACGGGCTACTCTGAACTAGTGGAAGTGCTGTCATTATATCTAGCTCACTGCATGGGCAAGAGCAGCAAGACATGCAACATGTGTTTTTTCACTTCACCAGCAGTTATGGAAAAATAGACGTGCCATTGTCAAAGACATTGCGCTGCTCACATTGAGAAGGCAAGCTATGTCTCCAAGTTACGGGATTGAATGTTGAGGCGTGGTCAGCGAAGTGCTGCAACATTTTTTTCCTGCGCAGGTTGTATGTTCGATTGCCCATTTGTGACTCCACAGCAATATTAGTTTTTGGGGGGCCCTGCGAAACTTGCATGGGCTCAGGGTATGCATGTTGTTTTCGAAGTCTCTTTGTCCGGAACACTAGCAAGCACGAGTGATGGCAGAGATTGCCCATTTTGAGAGTGGCTGGATAGTGCTTGTTGTTCCTTTGGCCACTGTCAATATGCGGAGGCCTGTATGAGTTGCCTCACAACCTCTTGGATGCTACGGAAGATATAGAGAGAGAGAGAGAGAAATTGTCAAAAGACTACCCATTACGGCGCTTGGGATGTCCATCAGTTTTGTGAACTGCGTTGGTAGCCATGACTCCGCCCAAGAGTCCAGGGACGTCGGCCTGAGGCTCTCAGCCAATGGGCCAGCATTTCCTTCACAGCATCTCCTTGCTTCCATCTTTTGGGGCCTTCATTCCGAGTGAGTTTCCTTCAAGAAAAATTAGGTCGGGGGATCGGGCGGCCCTTCCTATCGGAGCCATTGTCATCGGGCTGGACGCCACATTTTACCTCCCAAGGAATCCAAAGCTGTCCGACCCCATGAGATGCATACTTTTGGCTGCTCGGGTTTCAAAAAGAAGCACAGCTCTCCAGAACAGGACACCCTGAGCGTGCGCTCTTCTATGGTTTTATTTGAACAAAAACACGATATGTTTGACACTTTTGCCACAAGCACAAAAAACACCTCGAGAAAACCTCAAGAAAACCAAAAAACCAAAAACAATCAAAACAAGACTACCCCCCCCCCCCAAAGCTAGGACATGTGACACAGTCAGTTTTTTTTGTGTTCTCAAGGCTGTTCGCACTTTTGCACAAAATTCCGAATAAAACCTCGAGAAAACCAAAAAACAAGACTATGTCAGATGTCCTGGCTTGGGGGGGGGGGTAGTCTTTTTTGTTGGGTGACTTGTGTGATTTTCTCGAGGTTTTTTGCATGTCTTTGGAAAATGTGATAACCTGGAGAAAACCGACAAAAAGTGAGACTCTGACAGCTGTCCTGGCTTGAGGGAACATAATATGTGTTTGCTTGGTTGTCTCGAGTTGTTTGTAGTACCTTACCGTTTCCGGCCTGTTTGCAAGAAGATTCTGTGATCAAGTGCGCTGGTGTAGTTCACATCCAAGCCCTAGTACAGTAAGCTAGAGATGGTTTCCTCTGGTTGGACTTTCCTTACTACATTATTCTTAATTTTAATTAGAACTATACAAGTCGAACTTGATACATATATTAAGTAGGGGTCATAAGAAAGAAGTTAGAGGTCCCAAGCTACTTTTCTGGAAAGACAATTCTATTGGACAGGCAGTCCTGTGTAGCATCCATTTTGAAATAGAGAATCCATTATTTAAATTTCTACTTTAAGCCAACACTTATGTTTGGATTCTTTTCTTATTAAATGTGAGATAGGAATTAAGTAGAACTTGGTAAATATATTGAGTAGAATTCGTAAGAAAAGAACTTATAGGTTCCAGACATGCTTAATACATGTTGTTCAGATGCTTGCTGAGGTGTAAGGACAATTATATTGGAAAAGGAATTCCCGTGCAACATTTATGTTGAAATAGATTAAACATAATTGAACGTCTAATTTAGATTATACAACTTGGTTGAAGTCTTTCCTTAGTAACTTCTAGTTAATTTCAGTCAGATTGGGTAGAATTTGTTACAGATATTAAGTAGATTTCAGAAGGAGAGAATTCAGTGGTCCTATGTTTGTGGGTGCTTACTAGCCCCAGAACTACCATGGTGACAAACCCCCGTAAAACACTGTGTTTTTTAAGCATTTTTCGTACTCAATTCACATCTCCACCAACGGCCACTCTCTAAAATTCAGTTTGGTTTTTGATAGAATTTCAATCAATAAGGCAATACTTGATCAGGGAATTGCATCTTACATTTAGAATTTAGATGCAAATCCTTTCCCAATAGAACATTGCAATTAATTAAATTAGAGTTCAACAGTATTTTTTAAAGGAATGCATCCAATCAGAACTTCTGTTGCAGAATAGAATTGAATTAGAATAAGTCATTTAATTGATAGTTTACACAGTATGTTCTTTCCAACCAAATGTCTTTACAATTCAGCTGACATTTAAACACACATTGTGCAAACATAGCTCAACCCGAGTTTCCACTAAACGCAAAAAAAAAAAAAAAAAAACGCACGCTCACAGCGTCCCGCTCTCAAAAACATGCGCATCGTTAGGCCAACTCCTTGGCGCTGGGTGTGGAGGTGCAGTACTCGTCTCAGAATAGCGCCAACTCGGCGGTGCTGATGGGTTTCAGCTTCCCGTCCGCAGGAAAAGAGGGGAGGGGAGGGGTGCGGATGGAGATCGAATCTAAGAAGCCAATACCCCGGAAAGTTGATTGCGGCATAGACTCTCCGTGTCTATCATATATGGAAGTCTGATTGGGTGTGGATCTGAGAAAAGGATCTAGGTGGCTGGTTTCTGGGCCTGGGCTTGCAAATCAAGCAATGTGCCGGGCAGGTCATTCTCGTGGTTGGAAGCATTGTAAACGGAATGCGCTCGCCCTGGCAAGTGCGTGTTTTTAGGGTGGGCCGTCTGTGATTTTCAGCACCGCTTCCTTGCGGGAGGTATTGAATGACTGACCCACTGAATCCAGGTGCCACAAAACCCGGAGCAACCCGCAACGATGCCAGATGAAAGCGCTGAATGCCTCATTGTGAACGGGGAAGCTTCGATTGGAAGCGGCAAGAGAGTAGCCTCAAAGCGCATCACGACTGGCTCAGTCTCCAACTCCTTTTTTCTTGCGGACTTTGGAAGGAAAGTGGGGGGTCAAGTCAAGTCGCAAGGCCTGACTGTGATGAGCCCAAGGCTTGTTCTTCGCGAACTGGTTCATCCTGGAAGTCATCATCCGCATGCGGGTGGTGGGAATCGGACCATTCTTTTGCGACGATGACCGCGTTTGGAAGCTCGGCTTTGCAATGTTCTCCCGTGTTTTGTCGTTTGTTTCCCAGGTCCTGTCGAATTCCTTGGAACTGATTAATCGGGGGGGAATGGGGTAGGGAGGAGGGGAACGCAGAGAAAGGAGAGAGGAGGGAGAAGAGACGCAATTTATAAGTAATTTCCTGATGCAACATTTTCGGGTTTCTGTATATTTGATGCTGGTGGTCTAAATTGGGTGGGTGGGTGGAAGGGTTATGATTGTGGGGCTTGGCGGATCTAGAAGCAAGGCTGAGGTCTCCATGGAGCAATGTTCAACGAGGGTCCAAATGATCTAGTAAAATTATGCCAGCAATGCCTTCCAAATCTGCGCTGCTTTGTTGCAAGTTGCATGCTTACGTTGAAGGCTTTGCTGTTGGATACTGTTATATTCTTGAGGGGAGCTGTTGTGATGGGGGGGGGAAGTCTGAACGCCAGTGGATCTGTTGTTTGCTTGTTTGGCAGTCAGGACCAAATGGAAGATAGGATACGATACTGTAACATTGTGCAAATCAAGAGTAGGATTCAAGCTACGAACTGGCTATTGGTTTGGGTGTGAATAAAAGCTGCATTGACAAGCATACAAAAAGTGTTGAACTTTTCAGGATCCAGGTGGACAAAGCGATTGTTCCCGTGGGTTCTATTAATCAGGTTGCGAGACCCGGAAAAACCCCCTTAGTTGTTGCACACTGCGGGTTTCAAGGAGGAGTTTGACCAGCACAAAACGGCGGGGGGCAGCACATGTCCGCCAAACCTCGATGCAGGGGTTGACCACTCGGGGGTTGCCTTCAATTTGAGGACCATGTCCAGTGGTTAAACCTAGCTTAGTCTCAGGTGGTCTTTCCTTGCCAAGCGCCACGGGCATTTGTGGCATTGGCTTCCGCTTTCCCCGGGGCCAAGGGGTCGAAGCTTTGGCTGTCAGGAACTTGTTCGACTTGGCTCTCGCCTTCGTAAGTGTCTTCGAGCTGTCCATGGTGGTTTTTGGAAGCAACGCCAAGAGTTCGTTCTCCAGCATCAAGGCCATCAAGATTCTCCGCATGGTGCCTAGGGCATATTTCAGCCATGTGTCCCTGAGTGATGTCAGCAGGAATGCAGACATGAATACGCAGGTTTTTGCGATCCGCTCTTACAGGTCCACTCATTTGAGTCTGTGGGGAGCCATTGGGCGTGTCAGTTTGAGATCCACGTTGTCTTGAGAAAACGAAGGAGACTTTGACGGGCACCCGCGTGAACGCATCCACTATTGTTGACACCACCGCCACCGCTACTGTTGCTGTCAAGCACTAGTACGTTTATGTACGTTTGATTTTGCTGTAATTGTTTCTTCTCCAGCTGCTGCTATCATTGCTGCTGCTGCTGTCATTGCTGCTGCTGCTGCTGCTGCTGCTGCTGCTGCTGCTGCTAGTTTGCTGCTGCTGCTGCTGCTGCTAGTTTGCTGCTAGTTTGCTGCTGCTGTTTGCTGCTGCTGTTTGCTGCTGCTGTTTGCTTCTGCTACTCACAGTTTCTGCTATTGCTCCTAGCTACTGCTACGGCTACTGCTGCTAGTATTACCTGATTTTCCGCAGATGCAACTGCTGCTATGTTGGCTACTGCGGAAAGCCTACACCCTCGTTCCAGACATAGATTTATCTCCCTGAAGACACACGCTGCAGCAGCTGTAACTTTCTCGCAGGAAGTAAGCAGGGTGAAGTTTTACTGTACTTGGTATGCTTTCTAGCACGCTTTGGTTGGGCCGCTGGGACCTTTCTGGCAGCCCTCTATGTCCTATTTATGGGCAACCTTCTGATATGGTCGTCAACCAATCCTGAAAGCGGCTAATAGCGGCTAATAGCGGCTAATAGCGGCTAATAGCGGCTAATAGCGGCTAATAGCGGCTAATGGCGGCTAATGGCGGCTAATAGCGGCTAATAGGCATTAGGTTTTCACATTCCGTTTTCCAAAAATGTCAAAGATCAATGGTAAGAAGTGTGTCCTTCTTGCAATGCGCGCTTCAACCTGTGCCAGTGAGCCTCCCTCATCTCCCCTTCTGATGGATCCGGCTACTTTTCTCAAGCCCCAAATCAAAAGCTTGCCTCTTTAGACCACTGGGAACCTTGCAACAAATATGTTTTTTTTTGTTGGTTGAGGTCCTGTGAACCTTGCAACAAAGACGTTTATTTTTGTTGGTTGGGTCATTTGTTTTTGGGGCTCAGTAGGCGCTAAAAGTCGCTGTTAGGATTGGCCCGCCCGCCGTGCCCGGATCCGCTCACCACCTAAGTTGAGGTCTGGTTTGACTTTTGGATTTCATGCGGTTTTTGTGGGACTCGCGGGCCCAAAGTTGCATAAGGTTTCCATGCAGCTCAGCCTCTAAGATGGTGAGGAGGGTCGGTGGGACAGACGATTCATGCAAGATGCAAACTGCGGGCCCGTAGGAATTGCGACTTCAGTCAAATCCGTGCCATGGCTGGTAAAACTAATTCCCAAATCACAACTTGAAGCGCAAACATAACAGAAACGAATGAGCAGCGAGAAGCGATCCCAGTTGCCAGATTACGCGCGAAGCAAGCTCGCGCCGAAGGTTGGACTGTGTGTGTGTGCGCGCTACTCGCTGCTTTGCATGACCAACCTGAAAAAAAAGTCTAAGGGCCGCCCAAAAGGGGACCCAATCCCAGTAAGACTTTCTCCCAATATTCAATAAAGGGTGCAACACCCTGTGCAAGGCTTCGTTTCGCCCACACGAACTGTTCCTGAAGCATAATTTGCAGCATAATGCACAATTTGCTTAGTGCTAATTAATTGCCTTTCGAAGAACCTCATTCGGAGTTCGGAGCCCAGTTATTTCCTGGTCCACATGTTCAAAGCTTGGGAAGCTAGGATTGAGCGTCAAGCAACCGACTTTGAACTTGTTGGGAAGACTTTTTGGCATTGGCAAACAACCAATACGATAAAAGCACCAGAGGGGGGATGCTTTGGTTCCCAACGCCTTTAGCCCATGCGCTGAAGGTACGGCTCTTCCGGGTCTTCCGCTTCTTCCGGCAGTTGGCCACGCTAGCGCTTATGGTGGCAGACTCAGTGCGGCAGCTGCTGTGGGCACTGGTGATGTTTCTGCTGATCATGTGCCCTGGTTGCCATCCGTCCCGAGGATACAGGCAGTCACTATGTTAGGAATATGTTCGAGAGTCTGCAAAACGAGTTTGGCCCTTATTGCATCATTGCCCAGGTGTTTGTTCAGAATAGCCTTGAACATGCTGGGTTGTTTTGTGGCCTGGTTGTGTTTCAGTCAGGCTGGCCAGATTGGTCGCTTGTGTGGCTGTTGGCGACAGATGGGCTTGACTGCTTTTTCGCTGATGGTTGATGTTCAACAGCAATGCTTGGCACCTGTTCAGGTTTGTATGTTGGGCATAGCCTTGTAAGGATCGATGGCTTGAGTTTGTTTGGGGGGCTGTAGTTCTTGCAGAATTGGCTGTTCTTGACTCTGGGTTCGGCTATGCCTCAGTTTGGTTAAGCGAGAAGCATTGCATCACCAGGAGGATCACTTCCCGACAAGAAACCAGGGCAGCGGCAATCAACGTGTGATTGGTTTGGCTAACTTGCCTTCCGTGTTGCACCGAATTGTTCGGTTGTGAATAGCTCTCCTGGCCCGTCCATTGAATCTTGACAAGGAACTCATCATCACAGCCAGATGGATCGGGAATGGAACTGGATTCCGCTGTCACTCAACTATTCCATGGTTTCTTAAATCACCCCTTTGGTGGTTTTGATATCACTTGTGCGGGCCAATCTTTTGTTAGCATTTCGCAGGCCAGGTCACACCCCACCCCAACCCCCACTCATGATCAAGGCGATCAGGATCGCTCTGGTGTGCACAGGTGCAGGTCTGCAAGTTGTTTCGAACGTGAGCACACCCCACCCCACGCCACGCCACGCCACGCCACCCCACGCCACGCCACGCCACGCCACCCCACCCCACCCCACCCCACCCCACCCCACCCCATTTCACCCCACCCCACCCCACCCCACCCCACCCCACCCCACCCCACCCCACCCCACCCCACCCCACCCCACCCCACCCCACCCCACCCCACCCATGATGATGGTGATGAGGATCGCGCTGGCGTGTGCAAGTGCAAAAGTGGTTCAGAGCGACAGCGCGCCCCAGCACAGTCCAGCCCAGCCCAGCCATGATGTTGGTGATGAGGATCGTGCCGCGTGTGTGTGCGTCGCAATAATTTGTGCCGCAAGTGATCGTCGCTTGTGAACCGTGGACCACTGAAAACATGCAAGTGCCTTTCATTCAGAGTCCTTCCCAAATGCAGTATGAGACTATTTGGAGTATCAAGATTGGATCCCTGCATTCATCCTAGTTTGGCTCGCGCGTCAGGTACGTCTTCGCCATTACGCTCACGAGCAGCTGCAGTGACTGGCTGAAGGAGCGTGTGGACTTTGAAGCCGACTGGCAGGAGCAGGTCGGCAACAGCACGGAGCTTGGGGTCAAGGAAGCTGCTTGATTCCAATAATTTCCAACAGAAACCGTACTTGTAAGGGACCCCCTGGAAAACTAGTTTCCTCTCATCGGTTCAGCATGTACTGTGGGTTTTGGAAGTTTTGCCTGACACTTACCCAATTGGCCTTGGCATGGTTTGCTTTGCTTTGGTTCTGCCAGTTCGCTCACGCTCCGGGTATTTTGCTGGCTGGTTTTCTTGAGCAAGCGGTGCTTTCGCCCGCTGCTTTCATGCCGCTCTTTGAGGGTGCTCTCCTTTCCAAACTCACAAGCAGAACTCTATCTTGGAGGGAGGCCTTTTCAAGTTACAAGCAAGTGAACGTTGCAAGCAGTGGGTTCCTCGCGGGCAACTAATTTAGCTTCACAATGTGGTCGGAACTGAGTTTGCCGAGGGCTTCAGGTCAAGTCCAATTCTTTTTGCTTTCAGCTAAGCGCTCTCAGGTTCACCACTTCTTTGGCAGCCTGCCCCGCAGTGTCTACACACTTTTCCAGACTACGCTCGGCGGGATCAGCTGGTATGAAGTTACCGACGCGCTTGCCCACGTCGACTCGATGTCCTTTGCACTGATGTTTGCGGCTTGTCACTCTTTTGAGTTTGGCATGGTGCCGAGCGTCGGTCAAACTCGTTTAGTTGCTTCCCTTAAGAATGGTTTATCCAATTATTTTGCTTGTGGATTTATGTGGTTGACATGGTTAATCCTTCGATTTCAGCCAACCTCACTGCTTCTCTTGAAGCCCGGCCCTCATCAAAACAATAGCGGTGTGTTGGCCAACACTGTCGACTGTCCCATTGGGCAATTCTGTCCGAGGAGCCTCTGAATGCAGGAGAGGGATTCCTCAGATGGTTTAGATGCTTTGCTCCAAAGCAGTGGGGTTGCAGCTTGATCTCGCAGCCTGCGGTTCGATCCGCCTCATCTACAATCAAAGGAACCCCAGAAAACGTGGGTCCTTTCAGAGTTGTGAGAATCTGAGAGCATTCTGAGAGCTGCTCGAGGCATATATTATTTTCACCATCTTGGCGCTCATGAACGTGTTCACAGGCGCCCGTCACACCTGGGACCTGGGTTTGTTCAGTGCAGGGAATAGGCGGACCGCTGGCAGAACCTGCACTGTTCTGCATGTTAGTTTGAAACGAGCTATTTTGTTTGCTCAACCTGGACAGAAGCAACTTGCGCCCGAGGAAGGTCTGCGTATCATTCCATGTCACGCAGCATGCAAGTTGTGCAGGGTTCGGATGTTTTCAAAGCGACATGTGGCGGTATGTGGTCTGCAGCGTTTCCCTGGACTTCTCACTGCGAGGGGCAGGCCCGGCTGATCACTGCACGGTTGAGGGTCGAGTATTGGTATAGGTGCTGCCTCTTGCTCTGCCTTGGGCGGCGAGGCGTGTTTGTGGACAATGCCGTGCAGAATTCAAAGAAGCAGAGGAAGATCCAAATCGAGCTTTGGCAAAGCTAGACAAAGGCTTGTTGCCCTTGTGCTTTCGTGGCATGTGTTGACATGAGCAGGATGCTAGCAGTCCTGCTGAGACGTGCGGGGAGGGATCATGTACTAGCACAAGCAAATTCCTGTCAGAGTCGCATGAAGGACCTGCCAGCTGTCGAAAGCTTGGCCTATGTAGAACCAGCTAAGGACGAGGCCTTGGACAAAAAGAGGACGATGCTGGACCAGATGATCGAGTTCTTTGTGGCCACAGACCTGGACGGCTCCTCACGATGCACAGCCGGTGGTTGTTTCGTTGGGGCGATGGATGGGATTGGCGTGCCAAAAGCGAATGGGTGCATTCTTGGGTGGTGTCTCAACGTTTCTTGCCCAAACATGCCCAAACCGAGTGGCGAGCTCCAGCGTGTGTTGTGCGTTTTAACTGCAAGATCTGCCAGCACTTGTTGGTGACCTGCCGGTTGACTGCGTGGCTGTCGACGATGCTTTTGGCAAACAGGCTGGAGATGTGGGCACGGCTCACGGCAATGTTGCTCACGGTCTTTTGGCTAGCCCGGTGTCCCCAGTTTGGACTAAGGCTCCCACAGGTTGCGGCTGTCCGGTGGCTATATCCAAGTGAGTTTCCTTAAGTCCTTTGAAACCTCTCGGTGGCAGCTTCGAAACTGATTGAGGCTTGCCCCGTGATTTCTCCAATTTTGCAGTCACACCCATTTTGCCTTCTTGTCCCGATTCCGCTCAAAATGGCCCAACAAAGGGTTCCCTGGGCTACCAGGGTCGCCGGTTACAACTCGCACTCCTCGGGGGGGTGTTTGCTGCTCGGTGGGGCGGGGGAAAGGTGGGATTCTGAACGTCTCGGAGCTTGAGGCGATGGCACCATCAGCCTAGAAGAGATCCAAGTCCTGCTTGAAGATCCAGTGATGTCAGCGCCTGGGCTAGGGGATTTGGAGTCGCCCAGAAAGTCCACAAGTTCTGCGAGAATGTTTGGGTGCGCCATGCGTTGAAGGGAATGTGTCCTTTGTTTAAGGGCTTGAAGGGTGTCGATCGGATAACTCGGATTCGGTCAGACATATGCGCATGCCATCCAAGCACGTGAGCATGACTTGCGCAGGCCTTCTTGTTGGGAGCTTCTAGAGGGTGTAACTTCAAAGCTATTGCGTGTCCAGCGCAGCCAGTCCTACCCTCGTCGAATTGGCAAGCTGCTTGGGAGACCGCAGTGCTTTTGCAAGCAACATGAAGCGTAATAGGTGTTCTGACCCGATTGTATCAAAGAGCGTGTCGGCGTCTGGCAACATTGAGGGATATTGAGGGCTTCAATGAATCAACCTGAAGACATGTAGTGAGACCATGGCGCACCACGGTGTCAACGTTTGTCGGTCCGCTTTCATTTTCTTTTGTTTGGGGGAGGGGGGGGGGGGAGGAGGGGGGGAGGGGGCGAGGGGGGGGAGGGGGGGAGGGAACCGATACCTTGTGGTAGTAGAGGATCTTTATGTGGTGGCCCTGGATCTATTCCGGAGAGTTCCAAGTGTCAATACTGATGGATTGATACTGGATAAGCCCTGGTGCACTGTGTGTTGTGGTTTATCCTGAAAGTGGTCCGCCAGCACCTTTGCATCACGGATGCAATGGCTCAGTGAGCTATGTACATCTGAGGTGTGACATGAAAGGCCTTGAGCCAAAATGGTAACGTGTTGCATGGAGATCAATGGGTCCAGAAAACAAACACAAAACAGACCAGCACTGAATTACTATTGGCTGGTTGGCCTTCGACCGTAGCCATTCAAGTGTGTGCCGTAGCCATGAATGTGTCAGTGACAGATTCTTGTCAGAATTAAAGTGCTGTATTCGTCCCTTTTCGGCGCGGATGCAATGTCTGTGTTGGCAAAAGGAAAAGAATACTCTGTACTCATTGCGGATACCTAACTGTATCAAAAGATGATGTACAATGCTATGTACACGCAGGACCATTCTGAAACTATTGACCTCTCACAGAATAGTTTTGCTGATGGTGAGGATCAATTGGTCGTCATTTGTGGTGCTTTTCTCGTGGGGACTCTTTTTCAAGCTTTTGACCGGATGGCTGCTGGTTTCCGATTGGCTGTGGCGGTCATAGTCGTACCAAGTCGATCAACTATAGCTTTTCCATCCAGGTTGATCGTAGCCGTAACCTTTGTTGTACCATGAGCTTTCCCAGGTAATGTAAACCATGAGCGGGTTGTGTGAACCTGCATCACATGGGCCATTCAAAAACATCTCATTAATGAGACGTGTTTGAAGCGTTCAGCTGAGGTCACCTGGTAATCGGAAATGATCAGCGTGGTCTCGTCCTGCATTTTCTTCTCTTCCTCTTCGGTCATGGACTCATACTCAGATCTTCGAAAAGCGATTTTGGATGTCGGATACAATCGTCATCATGCAATTCGGAAATGTTCGATCACATCCAAAACCAGTCTTCATGTAAAGATGGTGACGTACGATTGCCTTCCTCGTGCAGGATGTAGCCATAGCGTAATCCATTCTTTCTTCGATGGGCATTCCCTTGTCGTATTCCATGTGTCCTGGTACGTCTGCATGATGTGGTTGATCAGTCCAATTCCGGATTGTAGACCCACTGCAATCGACTGTAAGTGTTGGCGGATTTGTTTGCGTCGCCAGTGATTGCATCGCATTGGTACATGGTCACGAGTGGCATGATTCCATTCTGGAAATCCTCTCTTCCTGCTCCATGGGTGGTGTTCGGATGGATGTGGAAGACCCCAATGGTAGCATATGGAAGTCCGGCTCGGAGAATGTGTCGACTGGCGTAATCCGTGTTCGGAGTCTTGGATGATCTCGGAAGTGCTCCTCGGAATTACTCTGGTCGATCTGGTTGTTGTGCCGTAGGTCTGGATGGAAGGCAGTCTCTCGCCGACATATAACGCTTGAGGTTCTCCTTGGACATATGAGGACCTGTCGTCGCCATGCAGTCGAAGGTTGGCGTATCGTATTCCGGATCTATGCAGTCGATCTCGGTGCCAAAGAAACATCTAAACATTCCGAATGTGGTTCCCCAAGTTCTGGGATCTCGTTGAGATGTGTCTTGCCAAAAGTTCGACCTGGCGTGCTGATTGCCACGGACAAAACATGCGATGGGTCTAGCAGACCATGACTTGATCACAATGCCATACAAGCCCTTGTATCCCCTCGCATTTTTCGTCTTGCGAGTAGAAATGTGTCCGCTTCGTTGAGGCATATGATGTGAGCACTGTTGTGCAACAGCATCCGTGTGATCGGTCTGTCTGGTCTCGCATTGGCATGTGTTTCAATTCCTTGCCGTCCAACTTAGGGTTCCTCGTGAGGTTCCCGTGATTCATGGTGAGTGTGTTGACGGTCATGGAGGAGTCCAATCTCGAGCAAGGAACTTGTCCATCACGGGCCCTTCAGTTGCTTGCATCAAGGATCCTAGGATATCCGTGTATGCCTTGATCACATCGGGATCGTCTTGTGTCCTGAGAGATTTCCAGTTGTGCAGCTCTGTACTCTTCCATGGATGGCTTGTTGCTGCTGTGGACTTCTTCATCAACATGCTCGTCAGGATCAACGTGTCTCAGGGAATCAAATCTCACAATGGTTGAGGTCCTTGTGAATCTTCTGAGGATTCTTTTCATACCTTTGCGTGAAGTCCTTGAAGCTTTCCTTGGTAATCCTGTGTTCTTCTTCTGCTTCAGTTTTACTCATTTCGCGGTCGGGATAGACCTGCTGGAATTACTCGTTGAACTTGGTGAGATTGTCAGGATTGAGGTTCTCCATCGTATCGTGACCCTGTGTTTGACGACTCTTTCCCTGGCGGGTTCCATTCCTGGCTCGCCATCATCGTCCCTGTCAGAATGTGTTCTTCTGAGATTGGTCCTTGTCTGATTTGTTGGCATGGAAATCCTGCGCGAACTCTTGGATCTTGGTCACGTACTGTTCCAGATCCTCTTTGTCCAGGTTCTTCTTCATGATCCAGAAGTTGGTCTGCATTTCCTGTTCCTCAGAACCATATGCTGCAATGATGGTCTGTGGCAGTGGGCCGATGGGTATCTTCGGATAATGCAGCGCGTTCCTCGGTGAGCCTGATGCCTGGGTGGTTGTTTTTTGAAGAAGCCAAGAATCAACAGGGCGTCTCGTCCTCCAGGCGCATGTGTCAATGCTGCTTTGGACGGCTCATCGTCCAGGATCACGTCGTCAATGCGCGCAAGATGGACATGTACGGCTGAATTCCCTGCTCCAGAATGCTGTATATCTGGTCGTTGTATAAGTAGCATGGAACATGAATGTGGTCGGCTTCTTGCTGAACGGCCGGATCTTTCTATCCTGTTCCACAGAGTCAGGTGCCGGTCTTCGCATCCCATATTTCGGCTGAGTGGTGCCGTAGTCCGCGTGTTGCTTGTTGGATCTAGAAGGATGGATGCGCTCGTGAAATGTTGATGATGGGAGACTATAGTCCGGTTCTTGCTGTCGGTAAACTTGCTTCTCGGTGTATAGTGGTCGTCCCATGGATTCGAGCTCAACAGGACGTCAGTGACCACTGCAGCATCGCACGTACAGCTCCATTTCCTTGTCGTTGTAGAATGCTGTTCCATCGGGCCGGAGAGCGTCGTATGCTGCTTGGGATGTGAGGTTGTCAATCCACGTTCTTGGGTACAATGGCGCCTTTCTGTTCTCGTTCCTGATATGTTCCGTCATAGTCTGGAAACACAAATGCGATTTCAAATCTGGATTTACCGTATTTCGGAAACATTGGAAAATGAGGGGCTTGTTTTCCAGGAAATTCTTTGCATGGCTGATGCCGCACAATCCCTCGTAGAGCTCACAGGATGCATCAGGATTGACTTGGATCTCTTTCTTGAACACGGGTGCTTCTCTCCTTGGGATCGTATCGCAGACATCGGGAGAACAATCTGCTCAATCTCTCTACTCTCCAGAGGATGAAGTGGACGACCTGTTGTGCCTTGGACTCATCAATGGAGAAATACCTGTAGATTGATTCTGCATTTATGATGGTTCTTCTCATGTCGATCTGTCTGTTGTGGTATACCATTGGAATGATATCTGACCCGTAATCCTCCGGATCTGCATTGGCATGGCAGCAAGTACTGTAGATTCTGTAGATCTTCTTGGTATAGTCCATGTTGGCACTCTCTGTGTGCTGCCCAAATCTTGTAGGATCCCACCAAGTATCGAACCGTGCCTTTAGCCAGAAAACCTTGTTCTGGAACAAAGTGGAAATTCGGTTCATGTTCAAGAGCATTCCTGGTAGTAGCCCTGGATGTAACTCAGGAATCTGCTGTGCCAAAAGGAGGCGAATGGGCATCCTCTGAGGTTTTTTTGATGTGATCAATTTTGATTGACCGGTGGATGGAGGTGGAGCCTTCAATGTTGGCCTTCTGGACAACGGTGCCCGGTTGTCGCGGTAGTTGTCGGACTCTGTCTCCTCATCGATGGCGCCCTGAGGCGATGCCTTGATCCGAAGATGTCAATCGAAGTGCCGGTGGATTCATTGGCATGGCCTGAATCTTTCTGTGGCTGAGAGCAATCTCCGGGGAGTTGCTCTTTCCTCTTCTCTTCCGGATTACTGTTACTGAGCCTTCATCATCTCGTAGGTGTAATCCTCGGGCGAGATGTTTCTCAAAGACATTGCACTGATCCGTCTTTCTCTCTGCTCATCTGACAACTCACTCTGAATCATGAAAAATCTGCCATGAGATTGTCGCGAAATGCATCCTTGTGTCTTGTCTGCATGCCGTTGAGGTACTGCCTGAGTACTTCTGGGTTGTCTATGGACAGCAGATCTGGAGGCGTGGCTCTGACACCGGCGGCTTGCTGATGCGCGGCCATTCTTCTTGCATTAGCATCTTGCACTGGTGCTATGAACTCTGGGGACTGTGCCGTGTGAACAGTCAAGTCCATCCAGGCTGCCTTCGATCTCATCAAGAGAATTTCAATTTTTGATGTGAATATGTTCTGCCTTCTGTGATTGAAGAAACTGAGAAGTCTGTATGCCCTTCAGGAACAACTTCTTCAGCGTGTTCTTGAAATAGTTGACTCATTCTTCAGGATCTTGCAAAAGGTCATTCTGGAGAACTGCCGATGAGCCTGCTCTTGAGGAGTGGTCCTTTCTGGGATGCTTCGATTGTTGTGAAGGTCACCCAATCATCTACGAGTTCTTCATATCTAAACCAGCTGACTTTGCCATCGTACGATGGCGGCTGTTTGGCGGTCATCGATAAGTTGAGCGTCTCTTCAGTGAAGCCATGGGATCGGCCTGCACTTGAATAGGCTTCCATGAAGCCTTCTCCATCGGACGACATCTTGTTTGGATCTCTTGCGGAAAAAGACCCGCTCCGCTACCACAAATTGAGGCAGGGGTATCTTATCCCCGAAGGGAACCGATAACTTGTGGTAGTAGAGGATCTTTATGTGGTGGCCCTGGATCTATTCCGGAGAGTTCCAAGTATCAATACTGATGGCTTGACACTGGATAAGCCCTGGTAAACTGTGTGCTGTGGTTTATCCTGAAAGTGGTCCGCCAGTAACGTGTTGCATGGAGATCAATGGGTCCAGAAAACAATCACAGGGGGAGGGGGAGGGGGGGGAGGGGCTGGTGTCTCCTGGAGGCCTACTTCGACATGATCGGGTTCCGGCCTTCGGACGCCAAGATGTTGGCGCAGCTTTTGGACCGGGACGGCTCAGGAGAGGTGACCCTCACCGAGCTGCGCGGCAAGCAAGAGGGTAGAGGGTGCCACGAGAAAAGGACAGCATCCTCCACCAAGGCCCCAAGAGGTCTCCAAATGACATGTCAATTTCGTACATGCCCAGCATATATGACTAACCTCCCAGCCTCCCAGACCATCGAAGCAAACTACATACGGATTTGGGCCATGCTTGCATCGGCTTCCGTCAGCAAATGGTGTGTCTGAGAGCAAGGGAATTTCTTTGGCGTCGATAGACTTTCATCAGGGCGCCCTGGATCTTATTCCTCGAATTCTGCTCATTTGGTACTGTACTTAGTGGTACTTCAAGAAACGGGCGCACCTGAAGGATGTTTTAGCAATAGAAGCTTTGCACCGCGTGGTTGTGGCCCTGCCGCTTGTATTCTGGCTTCACTCTTGCGAATGGCTATGCGGGCGATTGACTTGGCATTTGGAGGCCTTTTGCAGCCCAAGTTGAGCCTGAGCGCACTTCTCCCATTGAACACATGTTGCCAAGGCATTGGCGCTCCAAAGGCTGTGTCTAGCAAAGTTATCCCAGACTTACTGGGCACAGCGAAACGAACACATTTCGAGTTCCATGTTTTCCATGTTTAAAGACCAGAAATGCACTGAGCATATTTACATATGTATGTAAATATATAGATGCTGAATGGCAAACAGGCACGTGATCAACATGTTTGCTGTAGTGCCCGGGGTAATGCCCTGCACTTGCTTGCCATTCCTCTTGACCAGGTTTATTGCTGGCTGCGATCGGATGCGAGGGGAGGCCAAAGGAGTTGATGTACACCTACTGCTCCTGGAATGCTACCAGCGACTTGCCGTAAGCAGTGGCTAAGCTTTGTGCACCGGCAAATGGCCATGAGATGGTCCGATCAAAAGGGAGGCCTCCAAGCGGGTGTGAAAGATGCCTAAGCTGTTTGTTTTCCGTACATTCAGGGATGGATGCAGTCGCAGCATCTTGGACGACCTGAAAGGTGAAGCCAGTAAATGCCTTCTGTCAAAGCAGTAATGTTGGGTATAGTGTGGTAACTCTAGTAGTGATCACGCCCCTTTTGCCCAACTCAACAAAGCGAGGTGACGCACCGCACATACGAAGGCACGAACGCACACATGCATGCCAAGTTTCTAATGGCAATTCGCAATGTTTGCTCTTTTGGAAATGCCGTTCGGATTTTCGTCTGTCTAGACATCTCACCTCAGGATTTCAGAGAGGATCGAGAGGCTCGAGAAGGCCCTGCCGGGCAGTCCGCCGCCGACGCCGACCCGGCAGAGCCGCCTGAGCCACTATCTCCAGAGGCTTTCCTCATTCAGGCCGGTGTCGAAGTGGAGGAAATTGAGGCCCTTGGGTCTATAGTCAGGGAGATCTTAGCAGGCAAGCTCGTCAAACCGCCATTGGGCGGTTGTTCGTGTTGGTTCGCTTCGTTTTTGACTGGATTGGATGATCGGATGGACAAAGAAACCCTTGCACCCTACCAGCTGCGACACAGGATGAACAGGCAGTGCCACCGCTCGAAGCTGGTGCAGTCAGAGCCAGGAAAGCCAACCACACCCCTTGCCTCGCCAGCGGGCTGCCTTCAAACCGCTGGCTTGTCCCCGAGTGCCGTTAGTTCTACGACATACGTACAAAATTGTGCCAGCAAGACGCATGAGTGGGAGTCAAACTTGTTGCCGGGTAGTTTATGCGAAACCATGCCGCTCTCAGATCTCAGTGTTTCGTGCATGGCAGTGTCCTTTGTAAGAGGCCGGCGGGTGAGGTGAGAAGTTTCCCTTTTCGGATCGAACTTGTTGCATCGCAATGCATCGCAGGTGAGTTGCCCAGCAGGCCTGGCCTGACAAAGTGCCAATGATCGGGTCACGCCGAATCTCATTCGGCGATATCTTAGGTGGAGTCATGTTCTTGTACGTTTAGCTTCGCTCCCTGCGCCAGCTTTTGCTGAAAAGCATTTGACCCACAATCAAAACCCGGGTAGATGAAGATTAGTAAGGGACAATCCCAACCATAAATAGCATTAAATAGCTGCGGCCGCCTTCTTCTGTGTCTACCATTGTAGTACCGGGCTTTGATTTTGACTCATTTTGTGCAGAAAACGCCGCAAGACCACGCGCGGAACTCATGATCAGGGGCTGCTGCTCAAGGCACCAGCCCCCTCCTTCGCGGCGCAGGTTGCCGATATCTTTCGCCGGAAGCCGACGAATTACTGCAAGCCGAGGGCGAAGCCATTTTAGTAAGCAGGTGCCAGCCTAAGGCTGAGCGCTAGATTCCAAGACACCAGCTGAAGCTTCAGGATTCCAACGCGGAACATGAGAGCAGTCATTCATGTAACGCCCCAATATTCAACATGGCTGCTGATTTCAGAAAAGTATTCAAAGGAAGGAGTTTTTGCATTGCCAAACTCGAAGGAATCAGCAGGAGCTGCATTGCCCTCCCATCTTGGATATGAGCAGCCCGCGCCGGTGGTTGAGCAAGCATCGCAGAGACTCGTGAAGATAGACAAGTCATCGTCCATCGGGAGTGCCGAAGAACTGCTTGCGAATTGGCGCCGATTCAATTTTCTGTCACTGTAAATATCATGTAGCATTGCGGGTGTACTGCGGCAGGGCGTCCATAGTGTCGATGATATACGATTTTTCCAATTTCATGACTGATAGCTGTAAGACGGATGGGTGACTGGCCCGAGCAGACATATATTCAGGGCCGCTTTGGGAAACGTGGAGCTGCATACTTTACCTAGCTTGGTAGCTGACAGTCTTCAAGGTGGTTCGGCATGTCATTTGCAATCTCTTTCAGCTTGAATTCTCAAGCCTCTCGAAATCCACAGGCGCGGGTGAACGACCCAAACCGCAGATGTAGAGTTACGAACCGCGGTTCGCCCAATGTTCTCGTTGAACCAAAGAGCTGTCGAAGGCAGCATCCAGGCGACTGACGTTTTATTATCTTGCGGCCAGCTGCCTTGCTGAGTTTCCTTGCGTTGTGGGCACAAGGCAGGGAATCTCTGCAAGGCATGAAGCTGAAATGTGCTAGGGCAGCAAATGCTACAAGACTCATGTTGAACCAACTCAGCTTTCATTTGATGGGGTGTCTTTTGTTTGCAAACCTCGGTTTTGGCATAGTTCGGCTGCGTCGATCTTTGCGTTTCGTGCAGGTGGTTTCCAAACGTCATACAACCCCACTGAATAAGGACATGTTCCAGCCAATCCGGGGGAAGAAAAGCAGTCGACTGCACGACGCAGACTTGCTCCGAATAAGCCAGCGCTTTGCTGCTGCATGAGGAGATCACTGTGCATAGCTGAGGGACGTCGGTACAAAACCTTTCGCGTCGCGCACGCAGTTAAAAAGGGACATATATGCTTACTCCTTCGGGGGGCATTGGGGCCAAGTTGGGGCGATACCCGCATGTTTGACTCGGGATGATGTGCATTTGTTTGTGGTTCGCGTGCTATCGTATCAGTTCAGAACAACCGAAAGAAGTCATATCTGGCACCTGTCCAGGTGGAGCATACTGGAACGGCGTGTCGCGGGGCAGCTAGGTGAACTTCATGGTGAGGTTGAGGGTCACCACGACTCGGAAGGCTGTTTTGGCACGAGCATGGGTTTGAAAATTTGCCCCGCTTGCCACTTCCGCGGCTTGTTTCAAAAATCAGAGAGTTACTGGGAATGGAGCCAGGGGTGAGTCAAGCAGCTTTTAATTAACAGCTCCAGAATAGGATGTGTCGTAGGATTTCTGGTTTGACATGCTCTTGTATGGAACAATTTCCCATGAGACCTTATCACATCCTGCTCCTCACAGTTCGAAACCAGGGGAAGGAAAATCCTAGCCAACAGCCGCTGCCCAGCTCACTGATGCCATGCCAGCGGCACAAAGGGAGACTCGGTCTTCTACCCATCGTCATCCTTGGCATTTGGCAACTTGCACTGGAAAGAACGCGCTGTTTGCGCTGTAGCCAGTGTCTTGTAGCGCTGTTTGCTTCGGGTTGGCCAGGGGTTCTTCAAGGCTTGGCTACCGGCCTGCTGCTTGCATTGGCCTGACCAAGCATGTGGTCAGTCCTCGAGCTGACACTCAGCACATGACCGCTAGAATCTTCAGCTTTATGCAGCCTTGCCACCACGCTAGCTTTCAGCGCTTTCATTCGTTTCTTCGGGCCGAATTTGGTTGCAAAAAAGCGGGAGGGAGCTGGCATATACCAAGAGCGTGTGCAAGACGTGATCCGTGTTTCCCTTTGTGTGAGGGCTCCGGGCGCCAAGCACGAACAGATTAAGTACCGGGATACTGGTGGATACTTCGGGTAGCGGAACTTGGGCATTGCTCAATGGCCATGTTCAAAGGGTACGTGGACCCTTTGGGCATGGGATTCTGCGGGTTCCAAGACCTGTTGGAACACCGCCTAGGCAGGAGACTGCACTGGGCAGAACCCCAAAGAGTACGCTCCGATTGTTCACCAGCCAACAAGTAATCGCGAGCCAATCCACATGCTGAGCTTTTACCATGCATGACATTGCATGACTGTGAACGTGGGTCGCGTCCTAGATTTGAATGCGCCTTGGATGTCAACATTCGCGTCATTCCCCCTGAGCCCAGGTTCGGGCCAGCCTTCATCGGCGCGCGGCCGGTGTCCCGCAGGTTCATAGGACACGTCGCCTCGACGGATCTCAAGGAGGAGCGCTCCGGGTGGGCTCCGGTGCAAGGGAATCCCACCGGCCAATCGGCAGCCAAGCAAACGAGCAAACTGACGGAACTGAAAGCACGGGGCAGGGGTCTATCACGCTCAAAGGCAACATGAAGGGGAGAGGTGTTTGGTCAGCTACACCAGCCAGCACTGTTTGAAAGAACGCTCGCTCATGCTCCATGGGTTTGCGCAGAAAGGCCCTGGCGGAAAGAGCCTTTTGCTTTGAAGGCGACAACTCTTGAATGGCATGCCATCCGTTTGTTTGCTCGGCAGTGAGCTAGCGAAGAACAGTTGCATCAGCTGAAGTGGGATTTTAGTTCGACACTTTGCCATGGCTTGTTTGCGTGACTGCTCGGCTGCGGCCCGCAGTCCAAGCAGAGCCTGACACAGCTGTTACCCATGTTCAATCTTGCGGCAAGCAGTGCATCTACCGCATGGTCTTTATATAACATGTGGGTTTTGCCGTGTAAGCCACGCAGATGGCTCTGTGTCACCAACAGGGGGACGTTGGCCGAGCAAGCCGTTTGTTGTCTATGCTGCTCGGCCAGCTGCAGGGTGTCAAGATGAAGCCCGACTCGGACGCAAATTCGGACAGCGCTGCCGAGAGCAACGGGGAGTTCTGGAACCTCAGTGGCGATGAGCGGAGCATAGGCGGGAGAACGCTCTTTTGGACCGGGTCAATGTAAACAGGGCGTTCTACAGTGACACCTTGATTGTTTGCTCCGCTAGGCTGAGTTATTGCAGGTTTTGCGTGGACAACAATTCCTGTCTTGTAGGTTAACTGACCAACACAACCTTGTGATATTTGCTGTGGGCTCAGGCTCAGGTTAGTTCCCCGATTTGTTTCAGGAAAAATATGGCAGCGATTGTGTGTAGGCACCTTTCCTGGCGCATGGAGCAGGCAAGCCATGATGTAATACGATGTCCTGATGCTCTGAAGTTTGCCGGCCGAAGGGCGGGCCAACAGTGGAACACGCAGACACTCAAGAAGCCAAAGCAGACGGAGTTCTGTCAATTGAGCACCATGTTGTTTGTTTTCTATGATACATGTTGCTGTATTCATGGATGTGTTGTTTGTTTCTTGTTTGACGTGTGGTTTAGTCTGTTTGTTGGTTGGTAGAGTTGCGTGCTGTGCGGCAAATCTGTGTTCATCGTGTCAGTGCTGTCAGGCAGGCGCTCGATGCTGGACAGCTCGGGTGCTGTCCTGGCGCTGGGTTTGGTCACCGTACTCTGGGGATCCCAGCACTCCATCATCAAATATACGCTGGCGGGGGGCGCCAATGACAGCTTGCCGCTTGCGGAGCATTAGCCGGATACATGCAAAGACTGCCCTGCGGCAGTCTTTTTTTGCTGTTTTGTCCTTGTGTGTATCCCTTTTTTGAATCATCTTTGATGTTACGGTTGCTGAAACTGGCGCTTCTTCTTCGTCTGGTCGCCATCCAGCTTTCAGACTGTTTATTGACTTGGTGTTGCTTAGGTTTAGGTCCCCAAGCCCAAGCCAGCAAAATCCCATTCTTGAACACCGCAAGCCATCAAAGTCAACCAACTTGAGGAATTGAATCTCCAAGCCTGATTCTCCAGTCGCCGCCAGGCAGGCCGCGTGTCTGAATCTGGTTCGCTTCAGCCTGGCCTCGCTGTGCTTCAGCTTTTGGCTGCCGGATCTCCGTGGCCTGCGGGGGCGCCTCGAGTGGCGCGCAGGGCTGGAGCTGGGCTTCTGGCTCTTCCTGGGCTTTTGCCCCTCGGGCCCTCGCACAGGGCAGGGCACGGGGTCGTGTGGATGGCGAAGTCCAGAAATCGCACCCGGAAATGAGAAACCATGGTTGAACCCATTTGGTATTTACTGGGGGGGTCGTCGAATGTTTCCAAGGTTTCTTAGGTGCAGAACCCATTGGTTGTTGGTATGTACAGGGAGGTTTCTTAGGTGCAGGATTTCGTCCATGCACGGTATGTCTTTGGACGTAAGGCAGCTTTGTTTGCAGAAAAGTGGTCAGACCGACTTGGGGTCCTATGCCTTTGCACAAGGAACGATGTTTTTCATTTTGACAACTGATTGAATCAGTCAAATCGCGAGCCAAGTTTGGCAATGGATTCTTATTGCTTAGGGCATGGCTGTTGGAAGGCTGGGGGCCAGCAATCTTCCTGGCCTCTTGGATCAGCTTCCAAGCAGACAGAGCCAAACTCCAATGTTGCTGTTGTCCATCATTGTCTGCTTGTGCGAGTTCGGTTGGCCTGCTGAGGATACCCTGCCGTGCAAATTTGCAGATCTAAGGTCCTTAGGTGACACCGCCTGCAAGGGAACCCCTAGCAAATAGTTTGGGCTGACAACTCAACGTGCTGCTGATGAGGCTGTGCGAACTTGTCGTGTCTTCGTCTCCGTTCTGTGGTACGATGATGTTGGTCTCAGCTTCCGCCTTGTCGGACCAAGCTAGGCCAGCGCTCCGGCATGTCTAATTGAATCAACGGATTCAGTTCAGTTCAACTGGTTCGGAGCGGTTCCGTATTCCTCAAATGGAACAAGTGTGGTAGGGCCTCCTACAGTTGGGCAGGCGTCTAGTTGGGTGTGTTTGCAGAAGCCATGTGATTGCGACCTCGCACCTAGCAACCTCATCCTTAATGAAATTACATTCCTTCAAGTTTGAGTCTATTAGAGACGACCCAGCTTTGCCTACTTCCCTTATGATTCAACACGAGGTGGAAGGCTTCCCCTGGATGTGCTAGGCTTGCAAGCCATCGGGCTTGTGTACACCACGGCGCAGCGGAGCGGACTTCTCCTGTACTTGCACCTCAGATGGGGGTCCTTAAAGGTGCTTGCTCACTTGAGTATGGGTCAAATTGGGTACCTATTTTTGACCCACAGCCACATGGCAAAGGGTGGACATTTAGGGGTGAGCGTTTAGGGATGGACACGTGGAATACTTGATTCATCATGATGTATGTGGGACTCGGACGCACTTTCTGGTAGAATGTGGTGGCTTGTGGATTGCTAGGTTGGCTAGCAACATGATTGCCAGGCTTGTCAGTAGATTTTGAATACGCATTTGCCGTATGCGACAAACATGTCGCATTGCACAAATTGTTCGATCACGGGTATAGTGCATGTTTTGGATGCTGCCAGTTTGGAGAGTTTCGCAACAAGAATCGCATATTTTTGGACTTTCGATGCTCTTTGTGTTGCGCGGATTTGCAGTTTAAACCTCATCCGTGCTTGCAGCCAAACCCAGGAATGTCAAGCTGGTGCCTTTTTTCGCCTTCTCAATTTTCGGCCGAGAGGCGGGTCGGCGAGTCGGCGGATCACGCGCATGTTGGGAGATTTAAGCCACCCGAAACCGCCGCAGGTGCCAGGCACAGGTCATGAAAAATGGGAAGCGAAGATGGGCGGAGTCTCTGTTGGCTGCTCAATTTGGCTGCTAGCCAGGCAGCCTCGATCTTGAGACCAGGTTCGGTGGAAGCTACTTTCCTCTTCTCGCATTCCGATGCAGGAGCAACATGTAGCAACAACTCACTTCCTCAGTTCCTGGACTAGAACAACTTTTTGGGAAGGCCAGGGTAGTGATAAACATACGTTTTCGGTTCTTTTTTGCCGATCCACTCAGGAAGTGAGACAAAAGACGTCAAACGGCGGGGCTGTCATTTTTCCCCGCCAAAACGCCAATCACGAAGGAAGTGAGACAAAAGACGGGGCCAAACCACCGAAAGGTGGCGCTCTCCGCTTGGCTCTCGGCCCTGGCGGCCTTGTTGGGCACAACCTTGGTGGCCCTGGACGACCAGGCGCCCAGGGGTGGGGGCCGGAGCGGGCCGATGCTTGATGCGTTTTGCATGGTCCTCACGGGTAAGTCATGCTTCTTGGGCTTGGGTATAAACCTCAGTGAAATGACAAGCAGAAGTTTCTCGGATGATATGTTTTTGCATTTTAGGGACTAAGTATGAACCAGAACCAGCAAACTTATCGGAGCCGTTCAACTAAAGGGATCTTGGAAGTGAAGCCTTGCAACAAATGGCATTGTGTAATAACCCCTCCAATTGCTTTTTAGTCAGGGGACTTTTGGTGATCCCAAAACCCTGTATACATATTATCAACTATATATATATATATATATATATGTAGATTTGCTCAATATGTTTCCGTATGGAAGCACAGCTGGAGTGGGCGCCCTGAGTGAGTGTGCAGACAAAAAGTATATCTTCTGTGCACCGCAGATTACCAAGTGACTGACATCGCAGGCAGGGGTGCCACCCAATGTCGGTGACCTGCTGAGCCTCATGGCAGCGGCAGCCTCGGCGGCTCGATCTGCTCTGGGGTTGCGGGATGTGGGGGGGTGTTGATTTGAGAGGGCACCCAATTTTTTGATGGGTTCCAAGAAAATACCAAAAGGAGAGCCACATTTTTGGGGGAGGCCCCCCCTATTTAAAATTCACAAGGCCTAAGGACGGATTATGACAGGTTGGCGCGGGCGGATTTTACACATGGGATTGTCTCCCATTGGATTGAAATCCACAAATGAGTAGTTCCCCTTTGCTTTCTCTTTGCTTTCCCTAAAGCGCCGCCCCAAAACTGGCCCCAAAAAGCAAAAACACCACATGGCGCGTCCCTTTTCAGGATTCTTCAGGCTGGTTGGGGAAGCCAAAATGAACACGGGGGGCGCATCTTTTGACACATGCCACGTTCGCCTCCTCCGATGCCCAGGCCATGTTTATCCTACGCTTGGAGACCTTTGCCCCAGTCACGGAGCCCAAAGCCGTGAATGCGGTCAGCACCCTTTCGGCCGCTTGCTCCGGTCATTGCTGGCTTCGGATGCTCCGGACATGTATGTGTATGTATATGTATTTCTAGATGTAGAAAAGAAGGGGTTGCAACCCTGGAAACAAGACCAACGGTGTCAAGCACCTTTTGTCTGTCTGGGGATTGTCGAGTCAGCTTTTTGCTGACTCGCGATGCGTATTCACCTGTCACATGTACTACTAAGTGGCCTTGACTTGCTAATTCTGTGAGTGCTCTTGGGCTTGGCGGGCCGACGGAGATTGATTTGCAGGAAAGTGACTCAATCCTGATTTGCAAGCTTAGCCCAGCTAAACCCCGAAACTCGTTTATGCAATGTGGCTTATAGCGGCTTAGGTTTCGCAGCACCAATTTCGGGTTTGATGTATGGTATCACCCAGAAATCTGGAGTATATGTGCATTCTTTAGTTGAAGGAGCCATCACGGATCGCTCATTGGTCATGCAGCGCATAGGTTTATCTTGTGCGACGAAGGCCTGCTTGGGTCTGGTTACCTCATGCCCTGAGGAGCTGTATGCGTTCGCCTTTGTAGTATGCCAGTGCATGTCTTGACGCGTCTTTGGCACTTGCTTCTTGTGCAACCCTATTTTGCACTTCAACATGTTGCCCACAGATTGAACACGAGCATCGAATAGACTGTATATCATCCGTATTATGTTAAGGTAATTTGTGTACTTGGTGGATGCAGGCGTCGGGCTGTTGCTGGGAATGGCTTTCATCAAGAACGCCAATGTCATTCCATTTCTTTGACAACAAAGACCCGGCATCGTTGTTTGAACTAACTCTTCCCAAAGTTGTTTTCTCGGATGCGTTTGAATCTGGTCTGTGCCATCTCGTGCTCTTCATTGAGAGTTCGCGTCCGTTCTCCGCATGTTGGAAGAGACATTGTCAACCCAAAAGACCCAGACCTCCTGTGGCGCCGTCCTTCTTTTATTTTGGAGGCCCTTCTGGAGAACAAAGATAAGCTCCAACGCCAAAGACGCTGGGCTTGGTTGAGTTGCGACCCAGGTCGCTGCTCTTTGCTTTTTCTGGGCCTTTGCCGTGGCCGCCGCCTCCTTTCTGGACACCGCCGGCGCCTCTCCCGCCCCGGAGCTGATTACGGGCTCGGCCTTGGCGGAGCTGGGGGCGCGCTGTGGGGCGCTGCTGAGGGACCAGCTGTCACTTGGCGCTTCGGGGGTGAAACAGATTGCCCCTTTCAACTTAAAAGAAGTTCGGCCGCCCCAGGTGTCGATGTTTCAAGGGGATGCTCAAAGTGCTTTGACGCTTTGACAACCCCAGTGGGCGGGTCCTTCTGGATTTAAAGGGAATCCTTTAGTAGGATTGTAGTAGGCTGTGTAAGAGAAGTCAACAGGAAACCAATACTTTCCAGGTACCCATTCTTTTGATGGTGTACTTGTTTTCGATTCACACGAAGGACATCTAACATCAGGTCTTTGAACGACTTCCTTTTGCGAGTTGTTTCGGGTAGGTAGCCGAACAACTGGTTTGGATAACGGGTGAGAGGATATCTCATCAGTATACGGTCTACTATTGCGAACGTAGAGACTACCAAGGGCAAACACGCTGATGCCATGATGCTGCTTGAGTCCCGTTTGCAGGTTTGCGTGTGGCACTATGGGCCCTTGGGGGTTCTCCAGTCAGCGAGCCCCGGAATCCACCTAGAGCAGTGGGCAGTGTACCTGGAAGTCAGGAAAACGTGAGGGAGGCCTGGCGGAAATCGAGGGGTCGTATGATTTCGTCAATATCAGGCAAATCCCCAAGCTTACAAACTCCAATCACCTGATAGTCTCCTGTGCCCACGCAGCCAGGCAAAACGATTGTTGGGTGGTCGCTGCATATGTTGGAAACGCGGCACATGCACATAGCGAGATCCAAGCCTCGGTCCAGCGGACAAATGAGCACTCGGGGTAAGAGGGGCACCAAGGGCAGAAGGCAGCACAAGCAATGGATTCGTTGCTTTAGCCGTTGCTTTTGAACCAGTGATGATCAACCCTGACAATCCAGACCAATTGGAGGGCAGATGTCTGAATCATTTTCCAGATGGAAAGCCTTCCAACCTCAAGAATCAGCTTCCATTAGATCAGAAGCTCACGGAGGTTTTCGGTGATTTACCTGGGAGTGCTGACCACGGCCTTCACCAACTGGCTGCAGACCATCGGTCAGCAGTCCATCCCGGCCACTACGGCCTCGGCCATTTACGCCTTGGACCCGCCCCCTGGCAAACCCAATCATTCCCTCGGGGATGCGTCGGGTGATTCAACAGGTGCAAGAACCTCAGAAAGTACTTTTGAAAGGAGGTCCCCCACTTTGCAGAATTGGAGCTTGTCCGCCATTTGCAGCATTGGAGCCTGGGAGTGTTATGTAGGTATTGGCATCGACGCTGTCATAGTTGATCAGGGCCACTTACTGCGAGACAAGGGGTGAGGTGATTCCCTTTTTCAGCGGGGCCCTTCATGGACAACAGGTGTCGTTTGTTGCTCGCGGCAATGATCGTGTGATCCTCATGGTAACCTTTGCTGGCTTCGCTTTCAATTTCGGACTTGCACGCCGTGATCCCCTTGCTGTTTTGGCATAATGGGTGTCACCGGGAACCTTATGCCTAGCAGAGTTCCAGTATTGAGCGTGGGATCTTGTTTGGCAACTTGAAGCAGGAAGCAATGTGGTTGAATCACTTAGCTCATTTGAGTCCGTTAGGTGCTCTCATGGCTTTAGGCAGCTTCCAAGGCCCCGAGTACCACATACAGCCTGGCTGGGGTTGCGACAGCCTGAGGCTTTGGGGCGCCTTTTTCGCGTACCTCTTCCTGGGAGAAGCTCTGGGTCCGCAGGGCCTGCTGGGGTGCTTCATCCTCTTCGCGGTGTGGCTCTACCAACTGGCAGCTTGGCCGAGGTTTGGTGTGCACGTGGAATATCCATTGCGCCCGTTGCCGAACAGAGAGTGCAGAGAGTTTCTCTGTTGTTCGGTGCGAAGCAGTTGCACGGGCTTTTGAGTGCACGACATGTAATGTTGCAAAGCGTGGTCTTCCTTGAAGCGGTCGACTTTGGAAACGCAGGCTGTCGCCCTAATTATGTTGTTCCCTGTCGCCTTAAGATGTCCATCGGCCTTGACATTTGTTCGTTCACTGCACGGGTCACAGTTGAAGTGTCAGCGCCAGAACGCAGTCAGGTCTGCTTGACAAAGGTCACATGCGTTAGGTGTTTGTTAACCATTTTGAGTGGAAATGGAACTATTTCATCATGAGTTCAGGGTTGTTCCAGCTGTTTATCGCGCTCAGGCGGCCACCAAGCGCGAGGAGGCGAACACATCTGACGCCTGAGTTGGCTGCTCCATGGCGTCGACTCAAGCCTGCAAGCAGAATTAAGCGTAGAAACCTTCGCGCAGCGTTCCAAGCACAAAGGTGCGGCGCACAGAGTCATAGCGGGAAATTCATTCTCATGAGCAAGTAAAGTCGAGCGGGTGGAATATTTGGAATGCGCATGTTGTGCAACAGTCAGGTTCATTCATAGAGCATGCTGGAGCTGACCCTGTGCTGTCAAACTGCCAGGGCCCTCTACCTCGTGCTTGGGCATGCCCTTCTACCAACCACTTGACTGCTATTGGGTTGGATCTTTAGACTTTAACTTTTGGGAAATCAAGGGGTTTTCCACTAAGCCCCAACAAGTTAAACTTTTGCAGGGGGGTCAACAGCAACCAAGACCCGTGGCCAGTTTTGGGGTCCGGTGCCGCAGCCTTTTCAACGCCAGCTGGCGAGCGCCGCCCGTGGATTTAGGCTCTGGTCGCGTTTTTGGTTATCGGGTGGGGAGGCTGGATATAGAATCCTTGGCTCACGCGCGGCCCTGAGACATCGATTTCGGCATTGCGTCCATGGCTGCACAGGACATACCGTTTGTTCCTGCGGCAGGGTGACAGCTTTCCCATGCCCTAAGTAAGTTAGACGAAACGCGCATGGATCTCTTTTTGCCTTGATAGTACTTGGATGTCCCGCCCTGATGCAGAATCATGCAGCGCACGTTGCAAGCATCATGCCAAGCATGTTTCACGTTGGCAACGACTATGGTTGATTCTCAGGTGGGAGCAACTTTCACGGGTGAAAGTTCATTGGGCCGATTTATTGGCCTAGCGGCTTTGCAATCCTGAACCGCCACCAAAGCGAGCCTTGCACCATGTATTCGGACCCGAGGCCGGGATGCCGGAGGCAGCCTCCCGAGGCAGGGCACACAAAAGCCTGAAACTCTTGAGAACTGGCAAGCGCGCGGAATCCGGGGATTGGATTTTGCATGCCTGGTTCGGCTGCGAAGTTACTTGAGGCGCAATCCCCGAGCTGTGGAGCAACCAACTCGGCCATTCATCATTTGTGGGTGAGCTAATGATGGGGCGTCGCCGAGCCTTCACACCTTGGCAGCTTTTTTTTTCTTTTTTTTTTTTCTTTTTTTTTCTCGAAGACGAAATCCTTGCAATTTGTTCCAGGTAAAGGGGAGGGCCGAACGAAGGCAGCCTACAGGCATAGTTATGTGTTGCGTTCACTTGTTTCTCAGGGGTAGCCATTCTTTAGCATATATGGCTGACTTGAATTGAAATGCTTTGGGCTGGTGCGAAGCCATTTGAGATGCCCCAAACGTCTCCTTTTACACAATCGCTGGCCACAACGTTTTTTCGCCATGTCGAACGAACGGACCAAGTCCGCCGAACGGATTCCGAATTCCCCGTGCCTATCCCTCGAGGGGGCTTCGCTGAGGCGCGCGGCGCCACAGCGCCAGCGGCCGCCTTTTGTTCGCGGCTTGCTGCGCAGGGGCCGGCGCCCCAGAGCGAGTCGATGAGTGATTCCTTCGTTGGTGTTGTGTGTGTGTGTGTTTGTGTGTCTGTGTGTCTGTGTGTCTGTGTGTCTCTGGTGTGTGTGTGTGTGTTTGTGTGTTGTGCTTGCGTTTGCGTTTGCGCTTGCGCTTGCGCTTGCGCCTGTGCCTGTGCTTGTGCTTGTGCTTGTGCTTGTGCTTTGTGCTTGTGTTTGTGTTTGTGCTTGTGCTTGTGCTTGTGCTTGTGCTTGTGCTTGTGCTTTTGCTTGTGCTTGTGCTTGTGCTTGTGCTTGTGCTTGAGCTTGTGCTTGTGTTTCTGCTTGTGCTTGTGCTTGTGCTTGTGCTTGTGCTTGAGCTTGTGCTTGTGCTTGTGCTTGGTGCTTGTGCTTGTGTGTGTGTGTGTTTGTGTCTGTGTGTGTGTGTGTTTGTGTTTGTGTTTGTGTTTGTGTGTGTGTGTGTTTGTGTGTGTGTGTGTTTGTGTTTGTGTTTGTGTTGTGTTTGTGTTTGTGTTTGTGTTTTTGTTTGTGTGTGTGTGTTTGTGTTCGTGTTTGTGTTTGTGTTTGTGTGTGTGTGTTTGTGTTTGTGTGTGTGTGTGTGTTTGTTTGTGTTTGTGTTTGTGTTTGTGGGTGGGCGGGTGGGTGGGTGGGTGGGGCCCTGTATTTGTCGCAGGCTACAGCTTCAACTCTGAACACGGCAAAGTGGGCGACAGGGAACTCTCAGATCTTACTTTGGAGTATCTTGAGCACCTCCAGCCGCAAACCAACCATCCGAGAAGGGCATATCACATCGTGTTTGGTATAGTACTATATTGTTTGAAGGTAGCCGTGCGACGTAATTGGGCAGGAGATAAGCTCAGCTTGCATGTGCCACGGGACTGGGGAATCTAGACTCGTAGGATTAGGCTGATAGAGCTGGTTCCCACGGGAGCAGACGGATGCTTGATTGATATATAGGTAAAACACACTTGAGCAGCGTCCAAAACCTCCGTGTACATGTTTAGTAAGAGTCATGTCATATTGACCAGCGCGAAAGGAAAAACTGTACGCGCGTAAGGTGGCGTAAGCTAGTGGCGTAAGCAACACCTCCAAATGTGCCGCGCAAGCAAAAACTCCACACGCGTAAGGTGGCGTAAGCTGGTGGCGTAAGCAGAATGATACGACATAGCAAATCATGACACGTTCAGGACATGGCTCACTTGATTTCGCAAGCGCTTGATGAGATACCTGAAGCTACTGCACGGACAACGCCTAGCCCCGGTATTCTGTTCGGCCCCTGAGCCCAGCAACGTGCCCCTTGATTCGACAGAATGCACCACTGGCAACTGAGGTTGTGGCCGTCCTGGTCAATCTTCCTAGCCGCTCCGAGAGAAGACAGCGAGAACTGGACGCAGGAAGCGGGCACATGTTACATGCAAGCCTGCACCCTGGCGCACGGCCCAAGCAGGGAGTACTGAGGCAAACACGGGCAAACACTTGACTCATCGAATTTCTCCCCCCCCCCCCCCCATGTTGTGCGTGCAATGCGAGCGCAGTGCGTTCAAGATCGTTCAAGACAATTACAACCAGCTGACAGGAAGTAGCTTCTGGAGACTCAGTTCGGCGTTTCGCCAGGCGATGCCGAAGAGCTGGACATAGAATACCCGAGAGCAGGCAGGACCAGTTTCCACCGACGGCTTTAGCTGTGTTGCTTCTGCTCGGGCGCGGCCGGCACCTAGCCAGCTTTGGCAATCCCTTCAGCACCAACAGCCCGTGGATCGAGAGATTGTGCCATTGCAGCGCGTTGCGATTCCACGTCCAAACGCGGCACGTGCTGCATTTCAATGGGCATGGACAAGTAAATTGATGGTGCAGGAGCCAAGGAACCATCCGCCAGCACCAGCGAAATGTTCCAATCCCCAGAGTCGAACGCACTGAAGAGGGCGTAGAGAGAGCTCAGTTTGTCACCAGAGCATGCCGACGTCAGCCTGTAGCAGGTCCAGACTAAGTCAAATTAAACATTTTGCAAGAAACCACTCTAGATGGTCTTGATGGCAAAGCTTTGTGAAATGGCCCGGGGTGTTGTTGCTGGTGATGACTGAGATGTCCGTGTACTCTCTACGTGCCTTTTGCCGGGGTACTCCCCTCGTTTGCCCACAGGGGATTGCGAATTCGCCAAAACGGTTGCCCAATGCAGGCTATGGTGACGATGCTGGCAGCTCCCGGGCATTTTTGTCCATGGCACGGGCCTTGGAGACTTCAAATTCCCCCAATGCAACGAAGAGGAGCATATATCTCAAGTTTCGACCCAGTGGCTTAGAATGCGAGCCTGCGCAGAAGCGACCTGAGCCCTTTTCGCTTTTTTGCTACACAACAAGCCAGCGAAATGAATTGCTTTGCTTTTTTGTTTCGTTCTATGAGTTTCTTTGAGCTGGCAGATGCTGGCAGTCATCCCAGCAACGACCCTATGCCCCAAACAATTGTCAAGTTGCGGCGATTTCGTAAAAAATGGAGCCCCTGGTTACCTTCTGCAACTGTACTGGAAGCAGCGGGAACGTCAAGGCGCGCTTGCGATCTCTCGTCCCATCCAGGTTTTGTTTGCTTTATTGAGTTTGCTACAATTTACCCTGGTTTGGATGTTGGGAAGGGCCCCGTTTTTCAGGAGAGGTAAGCCATGTCCGTGAGATGGCGCGACCCCGCCAGTGAAGGTTTCCCTCGCCCAGGACGAGAAGGATGGACGGTTTTGCGGCAAGGAGGGCGACCTCTGCAAATGCTTTGGCAAGGTCCGCTATGGCCGCCCTGTGGCCCGGAGGTTGCCATCGACGGGGGAGAAACGGGGAAGTCTTGAAGAGGGCGTTGTTAGCCAGAACCCATTTTTTCAAGCAACTGAAGCAGATCCCAAGCTGCTGTCAGATTCATGTGTTGCGAGGGTGTTATTGAAAGGACTTTGTTGATCGCGCATTCCTGCAGCTAAGCTTGAGCGAGACTCCTGCCTTCGGCATTTACATTTGCTGTTGCCATTTGACCAAGAGTCCAGAGGCAGGTCCTTGTGAATTTGTGGTAAGCATGTGGGCACTTGTCAGACATGCTTGCGTTTTGCTTCGAATGCGGGTGAGCATTCAAGTGCCGGTTTCGCTTAGCCAAGCTTCAGGGTTGCCGAGCACCTGTTTCTCCATAAGCTACATGGATGCTTCGGAAGCAAATGCTAAAGCCATATCAAGTGTTGTCCTTCCCAGGGATCCTTCATGAAGTTGCAGCCAGCCCAAACATGGCTCCTGTCCACGGTATGAATTTCTTGAAAGCTTCGGCACCTCTCCTGCTGTAGCTTGAGGCCTCTTCTCCTGGTCCGGAGATGTGGCCGTGGACGGCAGCGTGAACTGCAGCGCAGCGCTCTTCGGCGACCCCATGCCGCGCCTTGGCCGTGAAGTTGAGACCTTTCTCGGCCTTCGGCAGTGGGGATTGAGGAAGCAGGACGAAGTCACGCGCTTTGGCCGTGGTGTTTTTTGTTCAACATGTTCAATGAGACTAGACTGGTCGATGAGCGTGTTGCCTCCCAGCATTTGCTTTGGGTGTGTTGCCGGCTTCTGTTGGCCAATTAGTTGTAGTGATGCGTTCCTCACAATTCCGGCCTGTATTGACACACTTGCCTGGGTGATATTGACGGAGGGCAGAATCATTAGAATCCATTGCTGTTGGCGGAAGAAGGCTACGAGACATGAATGCAAGCCACAAATTGCACGCTTGGGGAATGGTACATCAGTCCCATACGGGTGTGTACTTGTTCTTTTCTTCTCTTCGACATGCTGACGGCATTTTTGTTTGCCCAATCGCCAAATGGAAGCGGCTCAAGGGGCACTCCCCCATGGCATCAGGAGTTCAACTCGATCTCAGCAAGCTTGCAGGGTGATATTTGTCAAAGTGCGTACCTCGTCGGTATTTATGTTGCCCCGGTTCTAGCTGCTGACGTGGCCGGCAGTTTTGAATCGTGTGCTCAGGATGGACCTCAAGATTTGCAAGTGCTACCCGACCATGTGCACAACACAGGCGGCCCCGAAAGCCGGCCTCGATGCTTTGCTTGAGGGATGCGGCATGGGTTTCATTTCCAGCCCGTGGAGCATGCTTTCATTCCACGTTGCCTGGTTCGCAAGCTTCCGGGGGGCCAGAGAATACCTACGAAGAGGACTCGCTTAAGGCCAGGTTGCGCAAATGCCAGAATTGGCTCTACTTGCAAGTGGTGTCAGAGTTTGTTCCGCCCTTCCTCAAGTGTTCCACATTCAAGAGTTCCAAATCAAATGTGATATCCCAAGCAGTGGTGGACAACGGCGTAAGACATTTGGCTCGAGGAAGTCGAGGAAGTCAGGCTTTTCTGTGCCAGAGAGCGTGCTACACCGACTTCTCAAACTTGACTGTTGATCGCAATGTAATGGCTGAGCACCTGGCCACTGGCCTCACGATAAGATCCGCATAGATCCGCTGTGACGCCTTTGCGCAGCTTAGGACTGGCCATTGGTTTAGTTGCTGTAACAACGGAGGCGGCGCAGAACCTGCCCAAGTACTCCTGCTGCATCGTCCAATGGGTATACTAGTGAGATTCTAGGGGTTGATTCCCCATTCTTTTCATCCATCGTTCGTTTCAAAAACCGGCTGTTTCCCCTGGTTTTGGATGGTTTCCTGAAAAAAGGATCCCTGGAAAGAATGGGGAAGGTACCCCTAGAGGCTGCCATTCAAGCTGTTCCCTTTGAGAACTCGGCCGCGCCAGATGGGCATCTGCACGCCGGAGCCCTGCATGTGCCCAACGTACGGGGCCCCCAGCCGAGAGCGTGAAGCTTGGTGCAACTGATGCTAAAAAGCTGACGGCAAGTGAGCCGATAGGGCGGCTGCATGCATGCCACCCATGCAATAAATGTACTAGCTTCAGCCTGATCTTTGAAAAGAAGCAATGAGAGTGTTGGATTTGGGACACATATAAGGGTGGCGGGTTGGGACGTTAGCGTGCTCAAGATTCCGTTATATACTTTGCCAACAGGTTGGTATGCCCCACCCACCTTTGTCAAACTAGGAGAGCACACACCACTTCAATCTAATGAAATTGACACAGACCTGTCTTCTCAATTCATCCAGACCTGATGCGTCTTGCTCGGTGCCTAACCGGTGTCGTGTTGTTTCAAGGCATGAGCAGTGACATGCGCACTAACAGCGCCACATTACAGGAATACCGCATCTTCGAAAGCGGTCACCCGTACTATGACGTCTTCTGCAAACTCGCGACAGAGACCAGCTGCACGTTTCAGTGCCTGTTTTGCTGCGCAAAGTCGAGGTCGCGGGACCCCGACTTCGAGTGGGGCAAGAAGACGCTGATGACGGGTGATGGCACCAAATGCGTGGGGCCTCAGCGTGAGGCAGAGCGCTTTTCAGGCCCAGCCCAACAGGGTCGCCCAAAGAGATACCTTTGCCCCTCCCAGTGGCTTGCAGACATGTGTGTTGGAGGTACTCGTCAATGGGCACATTATTTGCATGTGCTGACATCATCCTGGCTATTTATTTTGACCAGGTCAAATGGTTTTCAGACACTACCCCCACACCACCATCCCGAGAGGAAATCGGGGTATGGCTATGCCGGGGTTGTGTATCCCATTAACCTCCTGGGTTTGGGGTAGTGGACACCATGGATGTTCGACAAAAAACTGTGTGTGTCTGTGCTGGTGTGTGTGTGTGTGTGTGTGGTGTGTGTGTGTGTGGTGTGTGTGTGTGTTGTGTTGTGTTGCGTTGCGCTGCGCTGCGCTGCGCTGCGCTGCGCTGCGGTGGGGTGTGGTGTGGTGTGGTGTGGTGTGGTGTGGTGTGTGGTGTGGTGTGTGTGTGTGTCTCTTTTTTTTTTGTGTGTGTGTGTGCGTGTGTGTGGTGTGTGTGTGTGTTGTGTGTGTGTGTTGTGTGTGTGTGTTGCGTGTGTGTTGTGTGTGTGTGTGTGTGTTTATTTTGTTGATCAGTTTTATTGTTTGCGTGAAGGAAAACAACAGGAACACCACCTATTTCCTGCTGGTTCTCAGCAAATAATGATGACCCCTATGAAGTTTGGTGGACATCATTCAGGTGGGGAGTGCTGTCCATCAACCAATGTTGCTGGTTCTCAGCAGGGAATGAAGGAACGACCCCCTACAAACCATTGTTCCTTGCGGTTTCCTTTAAGGGAATCCCCAGGTTCATTCCCTCATTCCCTACTCAGTGGATTCCCAACAAAAAGACACCTTGCTCTCGCTTGCCCGCTTGAGAGGCTGGGCCTGCGAGCGCAAGCGCGCCTCCACGGGCATCGCGGAGTCTGGGAACTCCACCTACTGCCCCACACAGATGGGGCGATGCTCGTTGAAGAGGACGGTGGATGTGTGAAACTGGTGAACCTCCAGCTTTTTTTGAGAAACCAACTAGTTTTTGGATGCTGTTACCCTGAAACCGACAAGGGCCATCCAAGTCTATACAGGAGTCTGCTTCAGATTGGTTTGATTGGGGGCGTTCTGCATTGTAAGGTTCAGCAAATATGGAAGAGTTAAACATACTGTTGGCTGGCCGTAAAGGTTGGTTTGTTGCTTGGCTGGTTTGTTGTTTTTGTTTGCCCGCTCGATTAATGGCTTCCGCGTTTGCTGAATCAATTGTCTTTGTTCAGTGATGCTTCTAGCAAGGGAAGTTGTGCGCAACGTGTTTCTGAAGCTTAATCTCAAACACTGTTCATGGTGGAGAGCCAGCTCGGATTCGGACCCACTTTGGCCAATCCCACCCCACTAGCATCCAACAAGAATTGTGGCACGTGCCCTTCCTAAAACCGAACCGGGATCCTGACTTGGCCCTTTGGCTATGTTTGAGCCTGGCAGGAGCTGCAAGTGCGAGTCCCCCAGCGACACCAAACGGGTGATGAGGACGACCGTTGACTGGGCAAAAGGTGCAATTAGGTGGCGTGAACGGAGGTGGCAAGAAGTGAAGTGGGCTGGGTGCTACTAGGTTTGGCCGATTGGAGAGGTATCGTGCTGGTATTCCTTTCGGGCGCCATTTTTATGCATGACAGACTCCCTGGAGGGCTTGGCAAAAAAAAAACGTTGCAGCCAAAGAATACGTGCCCTTGACTAGAGTGCTGGCGGCGCCGCTGTTGTGCTCGCTGCCACCCGAGAGAGGGAGTTCGTGTTTCTGACGTGTGAGTTGCCGGTATGCTTGGGACGTGTGAGTTTGTTCTGATCCTGCCATGGGTTATTAACCTACCTGTTGCCAGGCAGACATTTCCCTTGGGTTTGAAGCACATGAGGCTTTTGCATGGTTATCAGCTGCTTTTTGCGAATCATCAGGCTATTTCACATGCGTGCAAGGATGCTCGTTTTGATGGAAACTACGCAGACCACGTTGCAATGACATGTTTCGAAAAAGACGCGAGGCCCAGCCTCTCCCAATCCTCGCAAGCAGAAGGCGACAGCCTCGAATTTCTGCTTGACATCCTAGTTACAGTGTGGAACTTGGGTCGGGAGCCCCAAGGCTTGTACTATGAAGTCGCAAAAGAAAAGGTATATTCCCAGGACATCGTCTCTTGCCTGCAGGACCAAAGACGGCGAGAAATGCTGGACCTGTGCGCCGGTGGGAGAGGGTCACACCCTGGGCATGGACACTGGCGCGAGGTCCCAGAGCTTGTGGGACCCTGGATCCCACCCTAGCTTTCCCAACCAAGGGATGTGAGTGGATCCTCGTTCACCTGCTGTAGGCCGATACGGTTTCCAATATCCGTTTGTTTCTTTGTTTCTCAAAGATCGTCGTATGCCTGGTTTGGCAACCATCGGGTGTGACCGAAGAGGTGTGACCGAAGAGGTGTGACCGAAGAGGTCCTTTATTTAGAAGGAAGCCAGCCACGAATGCCAGAGTTCAGGCACAAGCATTGCAGCCGAGAAACCACCCAATTGGGAATTTATTGGAGTGGCTAAGGGCATAGAGCCCCGGCAGGGATAAAATTGGCTGGTATAGATTCAACCTAATGGTTGCATTTGTTGCGCGGTTTTGGGTCGCCAGGTGCCCGAGCCAGTTTTCTGGGCCTTTGCAAGAAACTTGCGAACCCAAGGGGAGCTGGTTTCTCTTACGATTAAATCAAGCCTGGGATCCAGAAGCAACCTCCGCAACTGCGTGCCATCCATGTCTTCTTGAATTTTGCACGCCGGCTCCGAGTTTGTGCTCTGAGGTCAGCGTGCCATGTTCTGGATGCTTCCCCTGCTGTGGTCCTTCATGGACTGGCCAAACTCTTTCTGGCAGGCGCGCGCATGTGCAAAGCGCCGACCTATCGCTTTGTAGCTGGTTTGGGGCCAGGGTGGCACAGATATTGAGCGCATTCTAAAAGTTATTGCAGCTTGTCAACGCGGTTGCTAGTTTGATCAATAGAGTGAAGGAGCGTTTCACATGTTTTAGTGCTGGATATTGCCTTGTCAAACATTTCTTTTTCGTAGCGCAGCCCATCAGAACCAGTGTGCAACAAACGTCCCGTCACCCTACGTGGACCTAGGCAGGCGCCATGGCGCCCTTTGCTCCATGAGCCCGCAGGTGTGTAACGGTGACCGTGCCCTCACCATCTTCGTCGGGCTTTGCCTCTTGGGGCCAAGGCCCCAGGCACACCATGGCACACCTCGCATCGCTTTTTCTGGACAGTTTGTGCACATCGCAGCGGACAGGCGTGACTTGCACCCGTTTGTTCAAAATCCAGCATCCAACGCATACTTAATTCGGTGTTTCCCCCAAAAAAAACTATGATTCCAACAAAAAGCCGCCCAGACATTGCTGACTTCTGATTGGTCTTCTGGGGCCCAGGTACTTTCTTCAGGTGTTCGCTCCTTTCCTGCGGTTGGATCGTTTCTTCTCCTTCTACGCGCCTTGCATGAAGAAGGGCGAGTTCTGGCCGGGCAGCCCAGCAATTTCAGCAATTTGCCTTTCCATAAATCGCTGGGATGGGGTTGAACGGGTTCAAACAAGGCTAGAGCTCCCTTTCAAGGAAGCATGACATGAGTTCACCGGCATGTTGGCGCACGGTGGTTTGCATGTTTTGAAACAGGTGGCTCTTGCTGTCATGACCAAAGACGTCGCAGCCACGCACACACACACACACACCCAGGGTCATTCTTTTCTTGGGGTGCGCTTGCGTCGAAATGCAAGCTCCCAGGGCTACAAACTTTGGCAATGCGGGTCCTTGGCCCTGGTTTGACCTTGACCGGGGCTATTTGTTCAATTGTTGACTGGGAAGAGTTCAGTGGATTAACCACATCATGTTGCACTCAGCATCACTTTCAAGATGGCTCGTACCAAATGAACATGCGTGTGCTGGACGTTGTGCCAGCATTGTTTTGGTTTGGGCAGTGATGTTGGATAGCGCAAGGGTAATTCACATGTCGGCTTCGAGTCTTGAGCTGCATTGTGAGGTTGGACACTTTGCAGAATTCGATTCACGTATCTTTGACATCGGTGCTTGGGTTGCGCAGCCAATGCAGCAAAACTCATCGGAGTTTGGGATGCATCGCTGCTGCGTTGAACCTGCCAGAGCAGCCGCGTTTGTTTCAGTTTTGGCATGAGGCGTTTCTTCACATACTTCATGCTGCACAGCGACATGCAGGTGTGAAGGGGAAGGGGACAATGCAAGGGCCACTGCATGTGTCAATTCAATGCTGGTTCTTTGGATGTTCTTTGGAGTTTGACGCGCCCGTCGATGGATTTGAAGGTGTGTTTCAATTCGTGCACTCATATCTCTCATTGTTTTGCAGCTTAAGAGCGATGAGGTCAACCAAAACTCTATGGCTTGTGGCGGTTCTTCCTTTGTGGCGCCCATGGAAGCCCTGAATGTGAGCAGATGCCGCCCTTTTTGTCCTTACTTTTAGCCCAACCCAAGGTCAGGCGTCAAGGCGTTATGAAAAACAACAGTGATCCACCCAGATAATGAACACACAAAGGAGTGCGTTGCTTTTGCGAAGCCTCAGCTCGGAAATACTTCAAAGGTTCCAATGTGTCCTGCTCTTGATTAACCTTGGATGGGCACGTTGCACAATCTTGTCACCTGTACACTTTGGAGGTGCGTCATTTGGCCTAGTCGCCCCACAGGAAGTCCCACAGACATGCCTCATTCCTGGCGCTAGCGCCTTGCGCAAGCCGTGATAACATCACCCGCAAATCTGCTTTGGCCATGTGGGCTTCCAAGCCAACATGTACGGCCTTCCCGACAAGGCGAAAACAGCCCCCCTTCCAAGCAACCGCCGCAACAGCCGCCGACTGCGTGCGGCTTTTCGCCAGCACCTGTGTGTGAACCTGTTCCACCTGATGGACGCCCTGGATCTTGAAGGCGTGCCGCCGGGCCTGGAGGTGAGCCAAGGCCTCAACCGCTCTGAAGCAAGATGACATCATGGTCTTTCATTTCCTGAAATGAAGATGTTGTATTTCTCCTGTTGGTTTTAAAGGCAATCTATCACTACTGGATGTATTTTTTGGCCAGGGGACTTAAGCAAATGGAAGTGGATGAACTGAAGTTGGGCCCATCTAAGATTGCACACTTAGTGGTTCGGCATTGCCTTTAAGAGCTGGGATTGATGTCGCGGAAAATCCTACCTTGCCTAACGCTTGAGCATGCTTGACAAGCTGGCTGCTTGTCAAGCTGGTTTGACTGCAACCGCTATCAGACAAGCGTATTGTTTGCCGACGAATGTGGGCTTAGGCTTCGCAGTGGCTTTCTTGGCTGCTAAGGCTGCTGGCTTTATCGTGGCTCTTCTTAAGAGCACGGTGGCTTGACTCAACGCGGCTGGTTCAGCTTCAAAAGTAAAGAGACACGCTGAAGAACAAATGCTGCGGTTGAAGCAACTGGCACAAGCGATGAATTCTGGCCGACGTTTAGCATGATCAGCAAGCGCCAGTATGACCAATCTGGACTGCTGACGACGGTTGCCCACATCAGTACAAGAACTACACAGTCCTCAGTGGGCAGACGGCTCCTTTTGAAGATGTGATGTTCATTTTGTGGTTTGGGTCGAACTCAACGTCATAAAGACTCGGGATTCAGATGTGAGGTGGTGCGTGGGTTACCTTCGGGTCGGACACTGGAACCCACTCACAAAGCGCAACCGTTGCCGATGTTAGGTTCGGGGTCAAAACTGACAGTGGTCTATGGTTCACTCAAGGGAGACATTGAGGACCTCACCGAACTTTCCACAACCAGGGAGCCCGCGAAAAAAATCCCATGTCCTGGGGAAGGGTGTCGCCGGGTCCGCCTGAGGTCCTGGGGTGCCGCTGAAGTGCACCCGCGACGGACCGGTGGCGAGCATTTGCTACCCCGATGCCGGGCGCCCCAAGAGCCGAGCTCAGGGCCAAGGGCTCGATCTCGCATTTTGGACGAAAGGCACCCCGTGCGTTCCTTTGGGGCCAAGATTTCCACAGGGACCCTGTGGCATTGGCGCGCAAATATGCATATGGGAGTCGTTCTAAAGGTCCTTGTAAGGAGTTTAGTATTCGGCGACCATCGGTGTTGGTTGAGGTAGCTCCGCGAAAGATTCGCGATGGAGTTGCGAAAGTAACTTTTTTTCTCGCGAAAGTTTTGCGTAACTGTATCTGGTTAATCAATGATATGTGGAACCGTTCATCTTTTCTGCTGAGCCTTCCTTCTATTCTGATTAAAACACTTTGTTGATGTTGCGCTGATTAAGCCTGGTGAGGCTACAGTTTGATACCCTGCTTGGCTGGTTAGTGCTCCAAGCCTGTGTATGTGACGTGTTCTGATCATTTGGGCATCGGGGACTTAGGAATCAAGAATCTCCTGAGGGCATAAAGTGCCAATATTATGCTGCTGTTGAAAGCAACGTGATTTTACCCAGGGTCGCAAAAAAGAACCCGCACCAAAGATGAAAGACACGGTGATTTTTCGCGAAAGTTCCGCGAAAGATCCGCGAAAGCCCGCGCGAAAGCGCAGGCTTCGATTGCAAGGGGAGGTATAGTCTGAGCGCCGATCTAGTCAGTATACTAGCTTGGTACTGGAAATCTGCGACTTCAAGCTGGAGTTGCACGGCGAACGAAAAGCTGCGACTTTCCAGCCGGCGCATGTCATGTTCTACCCCTGTGATGAAAAGTTGCGACTTTACAGCTGGAGTTGGGAAATCGTCATTTCGCTTACAACGCTGGCACTTAAAAGCTGCGATTCTCCGACTCGAGAAATGAAAAGAGCACGGCGATGAATCCGCGAAAGATTCGCGAAAGTAACTTTTATATTCGCGAAGAATGGAGTTTCGAGACAAAGGAATTTAGATCAACCACCATATATATAATATTATACGTGTGTGTGTGTCTATGTGTTTGTGTGTCTGTGTGTTTGTGTGTCTGTGTGTCTGTGTGTGTGCGTGCTCTTGTTTGGCCAGGGTGTGAGTCTTGTACAGGGGCAAAGAGGACATGATCAGTCGCTCAACTGGCAATGAACCACAGCGAGCAACAACGAGGCGTGTTTCCACTTGTGTTGAGGTCACCTCAGGAGAGCCTGCATTGTTTGGAAACGTGCCAGGGCTAATCCATCAAGTGTGTGCTTGAAAGGATCTTGAAAGGTACTGATCTTGTGCATCGTTGGTTGTTGTTAAACTTACTTGGTGTGCGTTGCGTGCGTGTGTGGGTGTGGGTGTGGGTGTGGGTGTGTGTGTGTGTGCGTGTGTCTGTGTTGGAGAGGCTCAGATTTCTTTGTAAATAGCGGCTTGCAGCAACATCTTGCGTCACAGATTGCCTTGGCATCCGCCGGGCGAATCCAAATGCTTGGCCTGCAAAGTCCTTGGTGACGTGTCGGTCGGTCGGTCGGTTGGTTGGTTTGTTTGTTGCTGGGTTGCATAGTTGCATCTTAGCTCATGGGTATTCCTGGCAGGTTCAGACGTGCCACTATCAGCATGGTACATGTGGCCTCAATACCTCAGCAGTGCGAATGTAAGCCAGGCACTTCAGATATCGTTACTTTTACCAGCCGACTAGTTGTGGCATGGCGTTTTGCGAACATGGCTGGACGACGGGTTGGGTTTGGCGTTCGTACCTCCGGAACATGATGAGCCCTGGATGCGATCATGTGCTTTGGTTGTTTCACTTCATCCAACCACTCACCAAAGGGATCCTCGATCCAAGCCATGCTTGATTTGTGGTCCTTCGCTTGACGCGCTAGGTGGGTATCGGCTGGAACAACGTCAGTGCCTGAGAAATCTCATGTGCCATTTGGTTGCCGCCTGTACTTTGGTTTTTCATTTGAAGCTGTAGTCATCCCTGATGATGGCTCTTGGAGAGCATGCTTCTGTTCATTGTCGGGACATTTTGCCTTTGCCTATTGCAGTTTTTGCCATGTTTGGTTTTTTAGGCTAATTTTGCAGCTCAACAAATATCCAAGTTGAAAGGCACCAAGAGGACTTGCAGCAGGCAGGCGCGAGGGAGCGCCTGCCTGACAGCTCTGAGGTGGTGGGCATTATGGCCACCGTTTTAGCCTTCGGCGCTTTGCAGGGCGCTTGGCTGGAGGTACCGCAGAACTTGTAGTTTGTCTTGAAATGCATGCACAAAAGCAGCTGCTTTTACCTGCCTACCGGACAATGGTCGTACAAGCAATTCGTGCGACCCATGCATCTTGCAAGCTACACAGGTTCCGCGGGGCGTTGTGTAACGCCCGGGCCGAGCGAAGGCTCCTTTCGAATTGCCACCAGCCCATCGCCCAACTTCCCCTCAGCGCTTTGTGGAAACCGACAGGTGGATGCCTTGAAGTATGTTCGATCCCCAGCAACTCCACAGAAAGCTTCTCACGTCGGAAGACTTCTAAGAAGCCCTGCTTGGGCCTTCCCGCCATTGGAACGACGCCAACTCGCCATAGCCTCAGGCTGGGGACCATGAAGAACTTCGGAGCGCTGGTGCAGGGTGTGGGGACACCCAGGCCTTGCGGAGGTTTTTGCAGGGTAAGTCTTATTTGGCCATGGGGCATAACGGCATAACCTATGGCTCCATTTTATGGGGTGGATTAACATCCATTTGCCACCTATTTTGATGTTCACCAGGGGTACAGGGTTTTGACCCGCAGCCATTTTTTGTTGGTTTGGTTCGAATGGAAGGCAAGGGAAACTCACCTTAGCGATTGGGACGTTTTGCACACAAAAACCATCTGAAGCCAGTAGCCAAGGTGGAAGCTAAGTGGACCTGGTAGCTTCCAGCGATGTTCTGAGCTGCCTTCCATGTGCTGTTGTCATTGTGGAATTCCTAGGGGTGGGAACCTCGCGATCGGCCTCGTTAGCATGCCGGAAGTACTGCATGATGGTGATGACAACCTGCCGACGCTGCTGTAAATGTTTGTGCCGGTTTTGGCACTAACCACTAATAGGGGCAAGTCCAATTTGCGTTTCTTGTGAGCATTTGGCCCATGTCACTAGCTACCTTGCTGTGTCGAATTTGACTACCGGTTTGTTGTGCGCAGGCAACTGCGAGCTTGGAAGCGCACAGCATTAAACAGACCGATTTCGGCAGTTTCAAGCCCCTTGCAGCGGTCACGAAGCCAGCAGCTCTACGAGGACGTGTATAGCTAATTCGCTGCCATTTTTGAATACATGCATTAACCTGGAAAGCACCTGTTTACGTTGAATGCGCTGGGTGACTTGAGCGACGTCACGCCATGTTTGAGCACGCCATATTTAAGCACCCGGCCCCTAATCAACAGCTGTATGATGTCACATTGAGAGTCATATGACTCTTTGCGTTCTTGGTGTGGGGCATCCTGTTTGCAGAACAAGTTCCAGATGATCTTAAAATACATGAAGTGACACGCGGGATTTCCTGTTCTGATCAGCTATGAATTCGCTGGAATGGCCCCGAAGCAAGACTTCCCTTTGCACCTCCACCGGGAAAACTACATTTTGCATTTAAGCCGACATGCTTTCCAATGACTACCCCTCGATGGCCCTTGGGCCCTTGGGTTATTTGCAGTAAGAGACCTGTTTGTTTTTGATTGTCGGATGTTTCTGGTCAAGTTGTTCGCCCTGGTGGTGCCACGTGATAATTGATTTGCCTTCATCTCAAGGGCTCAACGGTACATGTGTCGTGTTGTGTCCAAGCTGCCAAAAGGCTTGGTGCAAACATTGCCATTTTTTTCGGCAACAACTACCTTGCCCCATGGGGCGGTAGCTGGCTTCCCCAGGCCAGCTCCGTTTGCTTCGGGGTAGATGGCGCGCTGATTGCGCTCTACGGCGTCTTCCTGGGTGCGGGGCTGGGGGCTGAGGCTCCGATCGCTCGGACCTGGAAGCTGGCAGAAATAAACCGCGGATTGTCACTGCGTCCAAAACCCCCCGTTGCTTTGTTGTTTTGGGTTCTTGTTTGTGTTTTTGTTTTTTGTTTTCTGTGTTTTGGGGGGGGGGTAGGTACTTTGGTGTACTTGGACTATTATTGGATGATTGTAAGGCCTGCACAAGCCTTGACCATAGCAGAGCTAAAGGCAATGGATTTTGAGCGCTCACTTGGTGTGAGGCTCTAGGTTCCCCCGCGCCACCGGCCGGACGCAAGCACTTATGTTCATGTGTGTATATGTAGTTGTATATTCAAATTTTTATGCAAGTACAAACATATTATATTTAGTATTCGCTGGGTGCTTGCTGAAGACAGGATTTTGGCGCGCTACTTTGCTTTGTAGGGATGTTGGCAGCATCGCGGTATTCTGCAGGGAAGTGGTACGTTGAGCTATTCTTATTCCGATGGGTAAAGCAGGCAAGTGTTTGTGGCAAATTGTGGTGGCAGATGAGTACATGCACTGCAGTTGCTGGGGCTGGGAGCCTACTCAGGCCATCTAGGGATACAAAAAACGCCATGTTGAGCCCGGATCCCGTGTTTTGGGTTCCTCGGGCTCGTATTTTTTGCTAGGGCTTGGTTGCTTGGTTGCTTGCTTGCTTGCTTGCTTGCTTGCTTGCTTGCTTGGTTGGTTGGTTGGTTGGTTGGTTGGTTGGTTGGTTGGTTGGTTGGTTGGTTGGTTGGCTTGCCACATCCTCGGCGTCACCAGCCTCACTTGGTTCGGGGGTTGCCTATTGGCTCTGATTGGAAGGCAGTTGGGAGTTGCTGGGGGCTGGTTTAAGCGAAGGCACCGATTAACCAGCAGCACACCCACAACACAAATCAGCTCCAAGCCACCCCAAACCTGCCCAACAGCAGCCTGGATGTCAGTCCTTCGCTTTGCCTAAATCAACCTAAACCACCCCAAGACCCACCCTCATGCAGATCTAAGCCAGCCTAAGCCCCGTAACCAGCCCCCAGCAACTCCCAACTGCCTCCCAATCAGAGCCAATAGGCAACCCCGGGCCAAGTGAGGCTAGTGATGCTGGGAATGTTGCCAGCCTTGCGGAAAACCAGTCCCAGGAAAAATACACCTCTACCGTGAACTTTTCTCAAGCGGATCGCGCTACCAGCCTTGAAGTTTGCTGATGTTTTCTGGGTCAGCCTTCTTCGGGGGCCGGCTAGCGAGCCTATGTTGAACAGAGCTACAGGCAACATCCACTTGGCGCCTGTTGCGAGCAAAGGTTGGACCAGCAGCTGAAGATTCCCGAGTTTGGCGCCTTCTTCTGGATGCGCGCCCTGGCTTGCAAAAATCCGGGAAGGAGTGGATATGAGCCGCGAGAAAGCGGCTCCTGTCGTAAAATCTGGCAAAATCAAGATCATTCCAAACGACACAATATGCCTTCCAGGATTGAGTGCTTTTCTTTCGCACTTGGCAAGCCATTGTTGGGCTTCCGGCACGCACCGAAATGTCAAAGTTCATCGCAAATCAGGGAGCGTTGCCCGATGCCCAGGTAAGTCGCCTACCCTCCCATTAGCTTACATGGAACCCATTTTGGAGGCAGGTGCTCTTCTAGAGCACCCCATCAAGTTCCATCCTAGCGGCTAGCGGGTGGGAGTGTACGCCCCGTGGAATTGGCCCCAGGAGAGTATCGTTCTTCGTTGGCGTCCAGCCGTGTTTGTGCATTAAGCTGCGGTAGCTGGCAGTTCGAGCCCTGCGCGGACAAACCTCTGTATGCTGCAGGAAGCGGTCTCATCCAACGATTCCTTCCAGTCAAAAACAGAGTGGCAGGGACTGCCTGCCGCTTTGATTTGAGAGAACTTTGTCCCATACATTCCTTGCGCACTGATTCGGAAGTGTAGCATGCCAAGCAGAGCGAGCATACTCGGCCCGTCCAAACGATGTTCAAGAATGTATTGGCATTGCCATCGGCCTGGCTTGGATGATTTTAGCTGCAAACTGCAAGGCATTGGCATCATCGCCTTCCATATTGTCATCGACATTGCTGCAGCCTTAGCCCGCGGAAAGTCAGACCGGCGTTGTGTCATTGCTGTTGCTTGGGATTGACGCCAATGACTTGTGAATAAAGGAGAGACGCAAGTTTTACTTGCAATCCTTATCAATCCTTCATGCTTAGGGTATATCAGGTATATCATATTGCATACTGTTTCAAGCAACATGCATACATGACCATGACGGTTCTTGCACGCAATCAAATCAGGTACAGAGCGTCTGCGGATCTGGCAAAGACACTGTGGGAACTGTGGCGCACATGGCCTCTTTGGTCGCAGGCTGGGCAATGGATGGAAGTGTTTGGTGCCGTGGGCTTGTTCGCCGGTTTTTGCGGGGTCTTGGAATGCAGCAGGAAATTGATAGCATCCCACCAATCAACATGGACACACGGAGCATACCACGCTTTCGGGGAGATGATGCGATATAGGTGCTTCGGGTTTTGGCAATTGTGTGACACATGTACATGTCAAGTTGCATTCTTGCAGTATGAACACGGGTCATAGTGCACTTCGCCCTTTCGGTCTGGTGTTGGTTGCAGGACACGCGGGCATTTGCAACGGTGAAGGTTTGGGTTGCTTCGGCCAGGTTTGCTAGATGACCGAGCCTAGGGAGATCAACTAGTCACGTCGAGCACCTGCCAATCACACTTTTACATAAGCTACAGCGACATGCTGCCAGCAACCGACCCACAATGGAAACTTCATCAATGGCTACTTGGTGTGCTTTACCAAGAGAGCCCAAGTGATTGGTATTCACCAGAAATCACGGACACAGGGGGAAGCATCCATTGATGAACCTACATCACAAGGTCATTCACCAGTTCCCTCAGACACGAAGAACCTTCGACGTGCCAGACTTCAAGCAACCTTCTTCGTAGGATTTGTTGCACGAAAACTCACGCCATACATGATTTCCTTGCAGGAGTAGTTCGTCACCTTTTCTACATCATGTGACGTTTTGGTTTGCAAGATGTACGCCCCTGTCTTCTTCCTCACAAGACGTGCGACTTGCGCACCGTGAAATACCGTGAAGCACCGTCAGACGCAGCGACATACCCTGATAGGTTTCTGCTACATCATCATTTTCCTGCCGCCCATGGGCGATGGGACCTTCTTCCACAGTGACCGGATGCACGCTCAGCTTGCCGATAAACTAGTTTTGCAGGGTTCGAGGGATACAGATGGTGGCAAATATGTGCTCCATTGCAGCAAGCAGGGATTGTATGGTTTGCAAGTGTGATTTCACTAGATTGAAGACACAGCAGGGCAGTAGTGCTGCAAATGTGCACTGCCCGCGCTCCATTCAGGCAGTGTGCATTTCATTGATTTCCGTCAAATATTGATAGGCCCATCCATCCGTCCATCCACCCATCCATCCATGCATGCACGCATCCATCCATCCATCCACCCATCCATCCATCCATCCATCCATCCATGCATCCACCCATTGAGTGCCTGAGTTCAAGTCATGTCTGCCATGTGGACGACACAACTTGGACCAGTTTCTTGATGTCGTTCCCATCATTCGTTTTGGCCAACTGTGGGAGCCGTTTCTTTGGGCCAGCTGGCACGTGCAAGGCCCTACATTGTCAACTGTGGCTTGACTAGCCCCAAGTACGTCACGCTGGATGCCGCGTGCTTAGCCAGATTGCGTCCCTGTCATGGCTTGCCAGGGGAAGCATACCACAATATTTAGGTATCCTGGTTACAAACGGCCAGACTTTGCCAGCTCGACCATTGTGAAGAACAAGCCAACCTGAGCCAACCTGAGCCAACCTGAGCCACGCCAGCACGTTCCTGATTATGATAAGGTTCAGGGGGAAAAGCCCTTGCTCAGCACTGCAGACGGCTGGCCAGTGCCAGCCGAGCACGCTGAGGAAGCTACGACGCAGTGCCTGGCCTTCTTCAGAAGGACATCGTTTTTGCCACTCTTTGGGCGCAAAAGCTTCAAGCCGATCCTTGAGTGGCTTCGAGTTTGTGATTGTTTATGAGCCATGCACATTACTCAGTTGATGGCTTAGGGTGACCCACGAAAAACCATTGAGCATGTGTCCGATCGAATTGATTTTGAGCTAGGAAACAAAGAGGCAGCCTGCGAAACGCAGTTGCGAGGCTTGGCTTTCCTTTTCAACAGTTTCACGCTCATCCCTCACAACGCGATGGCTTCGGGGATGGCTGACACGCTGCGAGCAACTTGCTACTTTCTGTTTTTTTTTTTTCATGTTGACCCCGGATTCTTCATTTCATCAACCTGGTGGACTATTCGGGGGTTCCTCCCTGGATTCTTCCCCACTTAGGTGGAACACCACTTAGGTGGAACACCACCCCACTAATCCGGCTAAACCTGGGTTGCCATTAACGCGCGCGCCCGCAAAAGGATATGACTCCAAATTTAGCGAAAGAAACCTGGGGTCAGAAGAGCAACTTACCAATTGAATCCCGGGTCGACTCCTTTTCTTGTGTTTTCGCTCTTATCCTGCGATTTTGTCACCCCATGTCAACAATACGTGTGGATCAGGAAGTGTATTGACGCAGAGAATTCGCTGTTCTGCACCCACTTTAGGTCGCTTGCCTTAGCCTTCTTGTTTAGCACACTTTGAGGCCCTTACCCTCAATGGGCTGCATGCTTGCGGGTCCCTCCTACGATTTTTGCCACGCCGTCCCACGGCTTGAAATGCCCACTGCCTTCAACATGTCCTGGCTGCTTTCGCTTTGGACTCCCATTGCATGAGGTTTCTTGAAATGTCGTGGCCGCAATTTCGAGGTTGGAATTTAGATGTGTGTTTTGCCTTTTGCGAGCCATCGCAGTTCAATCAGGTAAGCCCGGCCATGCCAAGCTTTAACGGCTTTGCGGCTACTTCAAACCGTGTTTTGTGTTTGCTGTCAAGTCGAAACCGGTCAGGCACAGGCAAAGCAAGCCATGACAATGATATCGTGTATAGGCTTTCAAGCACATGGATTGTCCAACTTGGCAATTTTGAGGGTGTGTGTGGCAGACGGCAAATTGGCCAGGAGCAATGGTATCGAGATTGGTATGGCTCAGAACATTGCCTGTGCCCCACGCTGACTTGCCTTCACCGTTGTCTTTGTTTGGGCGGCCTTTTTACTTTCAACTCACACGGCGTCGAGTGTCGCAATTCCACGTATTTTACGGGCTGATATTTCTGTGTGTGTGTGCTGTGCATTTGCGTACGTTCTTTGGTGGTTGTGTTTGTGAATACGTAGGTGGTTTTGAATGGGCTCCTGCACTCTACAATAAGACCCGTACTGTTCGTGCGCTTGGTGCTGGACTCAATGTTGAAGCCTGCAATGTTGAAGCCGCCTCTCAGCAGGCGACCCTCTCTCCCACCAAGAGGAAACAGATCTTCCAGCCCTCCAGGTGCCTTCTGTTAGTGGGAAGGGTAACCCTTAAAGTGACGAAGCAGAGGCCCAAGGCCCACCACTCAAGATGTCAACCAGGGCCACTTTGCACACAGTTTTGCACCGGACAACCCGCAGATACTGTTCTGGGCGGCTGCGTGCTGGCGGCGATTGTGAATGCCATCATGAAGTCTGCAGCCTAGGGCATGCCTGTCGATGTCAGTCTCGGAAATGGGTGGTTTCCTTTGTATTTACTGTTCCTGACGATTGCAACCTCGACCCGATGCAGAGCATTAAACAAAACATATATAAAACCAGCTTGCTCATATCGCCGTGGTCTAGGTATTTTTCAAAGTATATCAGGGGACCCCCGAATGGCGGCTGTCCTTTTGGAACTGTTGCAAAGCTACAAAGGGTAGCCTCAAACAAACAAAATCCCATCCATGAGGCGTGACATTAGCGACGACGGCATCGCAGTCTTCTCCTGTGGAGAGTCCTACTCCGGGAGGTGAGGTTTGGTTACCTCCTGCTAGCGCCACTGTGATACCCCCTTTCGAATGGTTTGGACCTAAACGACTGAGGCCGACTAGTGGCCGACTAGCAATTTCTCACTGATGGATACTCTGGCTTACCATAGCTGAGTTCAAGTCTAGTTCCTGGACTACTACCAGCTACCTTGAAAGAGTTATCTCACACATGAGGTACTTATCGGCATCCCTGTAGGCCGCAGAAATCACCAAAGGCTACCAGTCCGAGTCCATCAGAAACAAACCGAGCCAAATCACCGCGATTTTCGTGCCAGTGCGAAGAAGCCCGCGGCTTTGGATGACGAGCGCACGGAGAGCTGGCCTCAGGATGTGCGCTTCACCGGGTGGGATGTGTCAATCACCGCTAAGCCATTCGAGGCTTGACAAAGCTAATCCAAGGGTTCACTTGTCCAATGCTGCAAGGGCCCTTTGCCCAACCAGGATCTGTGGTCGCTTAACTCATTGAGGGGGTTTTCAGTGCGGAGTCGCATGAAAGTATCATGAAAGTTAAAGTAATGCGCAAAACAGATTGGCAATGAGCATAGGTCTTGAAAGCTTTGCAGTTGCTCAGCATCGCAGAGCAGTGTACTGCTTCTTATGGCCAGAGTGAAGTTGAAGTGAAGTTTTGCAATTCAAAACTGTGTCGAGCACGTGTAGAATTGGTTTAAGGCTTTGTGACTAGCGCGAAAGGCTACCACATCGTGAACAACTTGCAGCATGTAAAAAAAATTGAAGAAAATCAGATTCAGGTGGAAGATGCACAGGGCAGGAAAACCCGGACTCTTAGAGCCTTGGAGAGCTGGTGATCTTGGTTTCTGAGAACTCTGGGGACTGCATCGCGTGATTCGCCCGGCGAAAGTTGCCAGCGACATCTCCGGCGAAGGTTTCTGCGCAGTTTTGCCGGTGAAGTTGTCAGCAAAGTGTCCAGTGAAGTTCCTTGTGAAGTTTCTGCCTAAGTTTCCATGAAGTTGTTTTTGCTTGAAAAGTATGTTTTAAATCTTCCACCGAGATTCCACGCCATTCTTCACAGCACTATTTGGCAAGGCCTTCCACCAAAGACTTGGTGCAAATGCACGGCCAGCTTTTCTGTGTAGCGTGCGTGGGCAGCTCTCCTGCGCAGAGTGGGAGGGAGGAGCTGGGTGTTGCCCGCCCCAGTCCCTGCACTGGGTCTCTGCATAATTTTTTAGGGCGCTGACAGACGTCGCGGCCTGCTTGCTTCAACTTGGTCAGGAATGGTTCGGTGCGTCATCTCATTGACCGACATGGGTCACACCTATGGGAGACCTACCTGTCTAGCCAGCAGTGAGTCGGCGAATATCAGCCTCAAAGAGCCTGAGTGGACCTAGCCTTAGGCGTGCTTGAGCTGAGGCTCAGCACGCTTTTATGAGACAAGCATGCACACCAACCATTTGTCAGGGCGTCCGTGGAACCTCAAAACCATGGCACTCGCGGGGGCCGTCTCAGGCTGGCCAACGAGATCCAGACAAAGGAGATGATGACCACTCAGCTCAAGAAGGACGCCGGGGCCTCAGGTTTCTACATTTGGGACCAGTCAGTCAGAGGGTTTCTTGGTACCTTCTAAGGAGGTATAAGGCGGTACTGAACGACCCCTTACTCCCCAAAAGCCATCCTCATGAAGTACTTGGACCCTCTGGGTCAGTCAGCGAGCTCACTTGCCCACACGAGCCTTCACACATGATGACGGTGTTGAAAATCGCCCTTTGCTGCTCCACTGCGGGAAGTTTGCGCAACAGACTTGTCCGGGTTTCTGGTTTTTTGTTTTGTGAAGCGGGGCAGTTTCCTTCATTTTGTTGGCATGGTCATTTTGATAAGAAATGAAACTTGCTGTTATTCAGAGTCTAACTGGTGAGCCATCATGATGACAGTTCTTTCGCTGCATATCCTCTCAAGTGGGAGGGGGGCGCAGACCTTTTGGCGCTAATTAAAGCTAGATTATCACCCGCCCAAGCCCGCGCGGAGAAAGAGCGGAATCCATTATTTGCCTGTGCGGTTTGGAGAAGGCCGACGAAGCAACGCAGCACATTGAGTTGGTTTGCAGAAAAGGCACGTGCGCAAATTTGGGTTTCGCGTTTCAACTTTGGCTGAATTTTTTAATCGGCCGTATGTTGGGGATTGGTTCCGGGTATGACGCTATGATGCTGATTGCGCATGGTCCGGAATGTGTTCGCGACAGGTGCGGGAGGTGCGCGGGAGAAGACTTTGAGACTGAAGGATTGGCCGAGAGAGTCTGTGCCAACGAGAGCAGAAAGTCCCTGAAAGTGGCTGGCCATGCTAAACCGATGCAGGGAACATTTGTGAGACGACCGCGCAGTATCCCGAAACGCTATTCCCAAATGTTTCACGCTTTCAGATTCAAAGCACTCTTCCAACATTGGCACAGCACTTTGGTTTTGACGCCGGGATTTTCAGATGACTGCAGTATACTGCAGTCACCAACGGCTTTCAACAAACAGCCCGCAGGTCCCTGATTGGCTTTCATGCCGGCTTCGCGATGAGGTAAGCATGCTCCAGCGCCTCAACAACAACTTGAACAAGCTCACCTTTCGCCAGGCGGCGGCAACTGGATGGGGGCAAACTCACACATAGAAAAAGTCCACGCCAACCAACAGGATTAGGTAGGTGATGGTTGCGTCATATACACATGTTGTTTGTTATCCTATATCACATGTTGTCCTTGATGCGCTGAGATGGAGCAGGATTGATGAAGGACTTCCGGGCTGGGTGCAAGTCAAGTGCGCCCATTCTAACTATATAAATGACAGCATGGAGAATTCCAGAGTGTCAAGCTCTTTTAGCAGAGGCATGCCGTTATTTGCTTTTTTCGCCTTGCCGCGAGAGTGGGACATTGCGACCATGATGTGTTGCACCACCTGACCAATCCGAAGATTCAGGGTTAAGACGTGCGATGCGAGGAAGCATGCCACTGAAAGTTGGATGGCTTTTGGAAAGGTGGCAGACAAAACACCCAGCGATTTCCACCGCACAAAGCACCGCTTGTGGCTCGCATGTCAAAATGTGTGTGTTTGTGTGTGTGTGTGTGTGTGCGTGCTTATTATTATTTTTTTTGTGTGTGTGTGGGTCTGTCTTTGTTTGTCGCTGTGTGCATGTGCGTGTATTTCTGAAGGCGGGCGTACCCAATGTAGGAATTGCGAAGAAGAAGTTCAACATCGCGCCGCTTTCCATTGGGCAATACCTTTTGTGCCAAGAACTTTTGCCACATGGCGTGACAAAGACATCTTCGCGTGTAGACGAAGCACAGGCCTGTCCTGTGTGACTTGGGCCCTCGGAACCGGCCGTGCCGTTTTTTTCGGCTCATAGCTTTGGAGCGATGGCTCACTTGGGCCTCTTCTACCAGGCAGGGGCCGCATGGCGCGGGCTTGGAGTGGAGGTTAGACCCAAAACGGCCGGTGGCTTTCAGAAAGGGTGAGGCTCCTTTTGTTTGGATCCCAGAGGAACCTAGGATTGGTGAAAGAGCAACCCCCCGAAAAAAAACGGGTTGATTCATGGGGGTGTACCATTGAGGGAACCTTTCACCTTTGGGGTCGGTTCATCAGGGGTCAACATTACTAGTTTCCGACGGCTCAACATTGGCCATATCAGAATTGGCTGGCGAATTCTCCGCATATTCATGGCAGTTGACTCCAAGTAGAACAGAAGGACCGGCACGGGGGCAACATTCCTTTCGAGTTCAGGAGGGTCAGTCATCAACCCTTCGACAAGCATGTTGAACAACCATTTGAAGAGTCGCTTGGCACTCACTTGGAGAAAACCATTTTGAGACGATGGGCTCGCAAAAATATACTATTAACCCCAGCAGCCCCACAATTGCAGCACAGAAAGCGTTACCGGTGGTTTTTTTTTGCTGCCTTTGCTGGTCGCCGAGTCCTTCCACAGCTTGCAAAAACACGCTTGGCTTGTTTTGAGTTTGTAGGATGAAGCAGGCACGTTCGGCACAAGCGCAGGCATGTGAACTTCGACTCAATGACTTGGACCCTGCCCAAAAATGGGCCTAGGGGCACCGCCGTTTCAGGTGCCCATTCTGGTGCCTGTCCTGGAGTCCGGCTCTCAGAGCCAGGCGAGCAGCGAGCTCGAGGCGCGCTTCGGGGCTGTCCAAAAAGGATGTTTCGGCCAGGTGAACCGAAGACTTTTTACTGTTCACGATGTGATTGTCGTAGCCAGGGTTGACGTTTCGCGGATTTTGGCGGCCTGGAAATCTAGTGTTGATGGAGCAACTCGCATGCTCACCGCCCAAGCAGCTTCAAACCTTTCTGGGCAGGGTGATCCCATGAAGCAGGGTGTGGCCACGACTGCCTGACAGGAGCCTCGAGCGAAGAATGCGGTTTCTGTGCTGCAGGAGTTTGTGCAGACTTCCAAGAGCCCCTCGTCGAATACGGTCGGCAAGGTGTGGGAAGGTGTCCTGGGGCATTCAGAGGAAGCGAGAATGAAGTCATCCATTCCGAGGGACTTTGATATAGAGTCCTGAAAGGGCGGCAACGCTGATGTGGTCATTGTACAGGATATGAAGACAGTGTAGAGCTTCTGATCTATGGCTTAGGCCCTACACTCCCTCAGACAGGCATGGAAGCTCCGAGAAGGCCTCTGGAACCAAGTGGTCCATGTTTGCCTTGGGCAGGTCATCACGCTTTTCCAACCCAGTTCTATATGCGTAGAGTTTCCTTTCCCACTTGCACCAAAACCAAGGCTCGTTTTTGTGACAGCAGCCAGGCTTCCGGCAACCTCAGAACCGCGCCACGCTCCAGTGGAGTTTTGATACTACCAGCCCCAAGCGGCTCTTTCGGGCCCACGTGGCCTTCCTCCTGGATGGCGTCCCTCACACGGCCGGGTGGGTGTTCCCGTGGTCCGACAGTACTTCCAAAAAGAAAACAATTTGTGGCAGTGCCATAGGTGTCCTTTTTGGTTGTTTTGGTTGAAACATAGAGGGCCCTGGTTTACCCGGTGTTTTA